AACTGTCGACGGGAAAGATAGCAGCGGTTGCCTTTGTTTCTTCAAATTGATTTTGGATGGCCGGAGTTGAACGTAAGTAAAATAAGGAGTGGATTAAAGAATTAATCATCTAGGAAACGTGATTGCTATTATATTAATACCATTGCATTATGGTAGTCCACATTGAAAAGCAAAGTAGTTCACATCTTTGCCCGCTGCAAGGCAAATCAGTGAATATCTTTGCATAGGTTGGCAGTGATTGGCTTAGGATTTTTTTTTTCTCTCGAAAAGTATGATGGATTTGGAACGCCAAAATATGCGTCCTCAGACTGCAGTTTCCATTTATGACTTTTAATTCTAGAGCCATGACATGCTCTGTGATTGCGGCTGTATTAATATTAGAAGGTTGATACTTGGACTGAAAATGGTGGTCTTGCCTTTTGATTCAACCTAATTGCATGGTAAATTCTATTCCGACAATCTGGTGCATCTCTTTTCAAAGGCTTGATCCTCTTACCATAGACGGATTTCTTTTGAGTTCGAACTGTCTCTCCTGGAAATTATAGGATCTAGACAAGTATTTATGGCTGCAGTGTCATTAAACCCTCCAAGAATTTCATGGATATGTTTTCTCTTGCTTGTTTCTATTTTTGTATGATTGAACTGACTCGAGTCCTGGACACAGGTGCGTGGTTATTCATGCAAGAGAGAGTGATTGGTTGAAGTCGCCTTTATTTATTTGTTTGAGTAGGCATTTGGATAACCATGGTAGACTGCATAATATTTTATGGGCAGTTATGTCGAAATATTGGACGGCTGGAGTGTGTAATAATTTAGGGTAACTGTACTGTCATGGTATTCTTTAGTAATATCCTGCCTATAGAAAAAAATAGTTGCATCATCTAGCTGCCGTACCATGGGAGAGAAAATGTTAGAAAATATGGTGGACTTGGAATGCAGGAGACATGTTTTGAAATTCATGTCCTAAAGTTATGACTAGCTCTTGTCTTGCAGCTGGAAAGATTATGATTTACCACTTGAGCAGAGAGAATAATTCCTCAAATCCGGACTCTGTGTTTCACTAAACAATGGCCCGTGGATTGCACCTTATATGGATGATCTCCTATGTACATCTGATTTGTTTGTCAAACCAACAAGAGATCGAGTTTGCCTACCGTGGTTTTCATGGAACTGATCTTTATCTTGACGGGTTTGCCAGGATCCTCCGAAACGGGCTACTGCAGATGACCAATGGCTCGGAGCAGCAAATGGGTCATGTTTTCATCAAGCAGCCACTTGTATTCAATTCATCTGAATCACTCATTTTCTCAACACATTTTGTATGTGCGATGGTTGAAAAGCCCGGAAATGATGGCGGCCATGGGGTTGCCTTTGTTGTATCTGCTTCCACGAATCTCAGGAATGCAACACCAGCACAGTACTTGGGCCTTCCTAACATCTCAACAAATGGATCTTTCCCTTTTTTGGCTGTTGAGCTGGATACTGCTTTCAGTCGAGATCTTGACGACCCCGATGGTAATCATGTGGGAATTAATGTGAACAGTCTACGGTCCATTCTGACTGCTTCGGCTTCCTACTTTTCCAACACCGAAGGAGAGAACAAAAGCTTAACGCTCAAGAACGGAGAACCTATCCAGGTCTGGGTGGATTATGAAGGAACTGTGCTAAACGTTTCACTGGCCCCTCGTAAAGTTCAGAAGCCAAGTCGGCCTCTTTTATCAAGATCCATTAATCTTTCAGAAATTTTCCCACAGGGAAGACTGTTTATCGGGCTCTCTGGATCAACAGGGCAATTGGTCAGTTACGAATATATACTCGGGTGGAGTTTTAGCAGAAGCAGGGAACTATTGCAGGGCCTAGACATATTGAAACTTCCTCAAGTTCCTCGTCCTAAAACCAAATATAAGAAGCCATCTCCACCGCTGATTGCCCTGCTCATTTTGCTGGCAATGATTGGGTTAGCGGTTCTTGGAGGAGCTTATTTCTACAGGAGAAACAAGTACGCAGAAGTACGAGAGGCATGGGAAAAGGAGTATGGTCCACATCGATTCTCCTACAAATCGCTATACAAAGCGACAAAGGGGTTCAACAAGGATGGACTTCTGGGGAAAGGAGGCTTTGGAGAAGTCTACAAAGGAACTCTCCCTCTCAGCAGACAAATAGCTGTTAAAAGAGTGTCCCACGACGCGGAGCAGGGCATGAAGCAGTTTGTGGCTGAAATTGTGAGTATGGGTAGTTTGCAGCATCGTAACTTGGTTCCACTTCTTGGGTATTGCCGGAGAAAAGGTGAGTTACTTCTGGTCTACGAGTACATGCCAAATGGTAGTCTTGACCAATACTTGTTTCACAACCAAAGACCGACCCTTTCTTGGTCTCAAAGGCTTGTGATTATCAAGGATATTGCCTCGACTCTCAGTTACTTACACTCGGGTGCAAACCAAGTTGTTCTACATCGAGATATTAAAGCTTCTAACGTTATGTTAGACATAGAGTTCAATGGAAGGCTCGGAGATTTTGGTATGGCCAGGTTGCACGACCCTGGAGCAAACCCTACTGCAACAGCTGCCGTAGGAACCATAGGGTATATGGCAGCAGAGCTAATAACAATGGGAGCTTCCACTAGAACCGACGTGTATGCCTTTGGAGCGTTCATACTTGAAGTGACATGTGGAAGGAGACCTGTGGAGCCTGGAATGCTGACCGAGAAACGATATCTGGTCAAGTGGGTTTGTGAATGCTGGAAAAGGGCTTCTTTACTCCAAGCTAGCGATCCGAGATTAGGAGGAGAATTCTCATCTGCAGAAGTTGAAATGGTTCTGAAACTCGGGTTGCTCTGCACAAACGTTCTGCCAGAATTCAGGCCTACCATGGGACATGTGGTGCAGTATCTAAACTGGGATCTACCATTACCAGATTTTTCGCCGTATACTCCAGGAGTTCGAAGCATCCTCCTCCTCTGCTTCCCCCAATTCGAGGAGGCTGTCAGTACCATCAATCTCTCCATCCTCGCTCAACAACTCCATGTTTGTTACTCACTCAATCATGTACGGAGACGGAAGATGAAATCTTTGAACTCTCTTCATATTAATGTTATCAGCAAACATAATGCGAATCTAATCAGTTACAGCAGACTGTTTGTCCCTAGTATTTGAACCAAGGCTAGTGACATTGCACTTGCAGACTTGTATTCCAATGTGTTTGTGTTATACTTCTGCTGCTCTTCATGTATGTGACTAGTGGCTGACAAATTCGGCTATAGTTCCTCTATCTCCCCCTCCGCTTCTCTCTATTTTGTGTAGAACAATAATTCCCGAGAGCCATGAGAATTGATGAATTCGGCTTGATACCGGAAGAGAAGGAAGAAATCACGATGGTTTGGGACCCTAGCCTGAGCTTGAGAGTTCGCTCTCAACCTCCAATTGCGGGAAGAAAATTTGACTTCTCCCATTGGAAAGACATTGTCCTTGGCGCTGGAAGCGACGGAGTAGACGAGGAATTCAGGTATCTATGCATTTGTCTTGTATTCTCGGGATTAAGAGTAACACAGGTAATGTTGATTTTCATGCTTTCTTGTCAGGTTCGGCATAGGGGATACTGGCGAGATAGATAGTCACTTTTGCAATCTTAATCCATGGAAGATACGTTATGGGTTCTGCAGCACGTGTAAAGCTGAATGGAAATCCAAGTAGATCATCTGTTTTTGTATCAACAGGGTAAGAGTTGAAGTGGTCAGGAACAAAAGACCTGGTCTTGTCTGGTCTATTTCCAGATTGCATATTCCATCTTTGATACGTTCGTCCTACGTTGATGAAACTACATTGGATCAAAATATCAATACTTGTTAGGAAAATGGTAGAGAGGCTTTGTTCCCTTTGACTGCATATATGTGGTGCCCTGTTTTGCTGACCTTTGATTAGTCTCTGTTGAAAAGCTGGAGGATCCAGCCAAGTGTTTTACGACCGAAGGAGAACCTTACCTTCCAAGAAATGCTTTGGTATGAGTTGACTTAGATTCTTTCTTGTTATGAGATGCAATCCAATGTCTTAGGGGCAGTTATATGAAAACATATAGGAGAATTTAGAAGACCATATAACAATAAAAACCTGTCCTGTTTTGGCCTATTTCTTCCATTTTCTTAATGTAGAATGAATTAGACTACGTAATTATTGGTTAAACTATCATGGTTGCCTTTAATAATATTATCTTGTGGCCAAGTCAACTCATCGATGCATATAAAAATATATTTGCAGCAGCTGGCTACAATTCCATGTTGGAAAGAAGTGTTAGAAGATATGGACAAGTTTGAATTCATATCCCAAAGTTATGACCAGACCTTGTTTTGTAGTTGAAGACATTGTAGTTTACCCTTTTGAGTACGGAGAAGCTCTCCTCAAAGAAAACAGTCGCTCTGTTCCATAAGCAATGGCTCGAGGATTGCTTTTTATTTGGATGATACCCTTTGTTCATCTGATAAGCTTGTCAAGCCAACAAGACATCAGGTTTGTCTACACTGGTTTCGGTCCGACAGATCTTTATCTTGATGGGGTTGCCAGTGTTCTTTCCAGTAGACTTTTGCAGCTAACCGATGCTTCGTCGCAGAAAACGGGTCATGCTTTTTACAAGCAGCCATTTGAGTTCAATTCATCTGAACCATTCTCCTTCTCGACGCATTTCATCTGTGCTTTTGTCCCGAAGCCAGGAGTTATCGGTGGCCATGGGATTGCGTTTGTGGCATCTTCTTCTACAGATTTCACACAAGCAGATCCAACTCAGTACTTGGGCCTGTTCAACATATCAACAAATGGATCTCCCTCTTCTCATGTTCTCGCAGTTGAGCTTGATACTGTCCTGAGTGCAGAGTTTGATGACATCGATAATAATCACGTGGGGATTGATGTGAACAGCCTGAAATCTGTCGTATCTGCTCCAGCTTCCTACTTTTCCAACACGGAAAGGATGAACAAGGCGATACAGCTCGTGAGCGGAGATCCTGTCCAGGTCTGGGTGGACTATGATGGAACTGTACTAAATGTTTCACTGGCCCCTCTCAAAGTTCAGAAGCCAATCCAACCTCTTTTGTCCAGAGCCATCAATCTTTCAGAGATATTCCCGGATAGACGAGTATTTGTTGGGTTCTCTGCATCAACAGGATCATTGATAAGTTACCAATATGTACTCGGGTGGAGTTTCAGCAGCGGCGGGGTATTATTACAGGACATGGACATCTCAAAACTTCCCCATGTTCCTCGTCCTAAAGCTGGAAACAAAACTTCTCCACTGCTTATCTCTCTGCTCATTCTAATGGCACTCGTTGTGTTGGCGGCTCTTGGAGGAGCTTATTTTTACAGGAGAAACAAGTACGCAGAAGTAAGAGATCCATGGGAAAAGGAGTATGGTCCACATAGATTCTCCTATAAATCCCTTTACAAAGCAACCAAAGGGTTTAAGAAGGAAAGGCTTCTCGGGAAAGGAGGATTTGGAGAAATCTACAAAGGAACCCTCCCTCTCAGTAGACAAATAGCCGTGAAAAGAGTGTCACACAAACACAATGCAGAGCAAGGGATGAAGCAGTTTGTGGCTGAAGTGGTGAGCATGGGAAGTCTAAAGCATAGGAACTTGGTTCCATTGCTTGGGTATTGCAGGAGAAAAGGCGAGTTACTTCTTGTCTCTGAGTACATGCTCAATGGTAGTCTTGACCAGTACTTGTTTGACAACAAAGATCCGGGTCTTTCTTGGTCGCAAAGACTTGCCATTCTCAAGGACATTGCATCGGCTCTGAGTTACCTTCATACAGAAGCTGACAAAGTTTTTATACACCGGGACATTAAAGCTTCGAATGTAATGTTGGATGCTGAGTTCAGTGGAAGGCTAGGAGATTTCGGTATGGCCAGATTTCATGACCATGGAGCCAGTCCAGCCACAACAGCTGCTGTGGGAACCGTAGGATACATGGCACCAGAGCTAACAACAATGGGAGCTTCAACCAGAACTGACGTTTATGCCTTCGGTGCTTTCATGCTCGAAGTAACCTGTGGGAGGAGACCAGTGGAACCCGAGATGCCAGCTGAAAAACAGTATCTTGTCAAATGGGTATGCGAATCATGGAAAAGGGTTTCTTTACACGAGGTTAAAGATCCGAGATTGGGAGGAGAATTTTCGTTAGAGGAAGTTGAAATGGTTCTGAAACTAGGATTGCTCTGCACAAACATTGTTCCAGAATCCAGACCTACCATGGAAGAAGTGGTTCAATACCTGAACTGGAGCTTACCATTGCCGGAGATCTCGCCATATTCTCCGGGGATCGGAGCATTTACTCGGGTGGTTTTGGAAGCATTCTCCTCCTCCTCGGCCTCCTCCACGTCGAGGAGGTTGCCAGATCCCTTGAACTCGTCTTCCTCCTCCAACAACTCTATGTTTGTCACTCACACAATCATCTATGGGCAAGGAAGATAGCTTCTAACAAGACCTTTTCCTTCGTACAATTTCCTTCCTGCCTTGGATTTGTGAAGTGATTCCCCACATATACTTGTACATCGTATAAACTCGTTCTTGAAAATTGATGTATTAATTTTTCTTCCGTTGTTACTTGACGATATTAACTTGAATTTATTAGGTTTCGCAACTGAAAAATATTTTTTGAAATAACGCATTTTTCGGCTACACAATAAACTAGCAATCTACTAAACGTAGCAATTGCAATTTTTCAATAGCATCTTTTGAGTTTTCATTTTTTTCCCTCACAATGTAAAAGATTTCAGGTTTACTCTGTTATTTATATCCAAGAAAATAATCGAACATTAAAGGGAAATCAGATAAATAAATTTTTTTATAAGAGAATCCACTCTATCAAGAGTGACAAAAAGCAAAAGACAATTAATATTCAGGTATGATAAAGAAAACTCGATGTATCTATCGAATCCATCCACCAAAGTGTGTGTTATTTTACTATTCATCATCCGGATCCATCCATAAGCAGTTTTGCATTATCTCTTCAATCTCCATAAACATTCAATCCACAAAGAAGCCGAAGAGCTTCTTCCTGTCTCCCTACCATCCGAACCGATCACAGTTCTGATCTGAATCTCGTCCACATCATTGTGATTCTCTTTGGAATCTGACCGAACTATCCACATAAAGTTGCTGCCTTTGGTCTTGTGAAGTAGCATTACAGCCGACGAGGCCATGAGTTGGATCATCCATGGTAAGGTGATGAGTAGCGATCTTGATATGGCAAAGGGCTTGATGTAGATGAGGTTGCGGTGTTCATTCATGGCGGAAGAAGAGAATTCCTGTGAGAGTTGTCCACAAGAGAGTGGAGGAGAATTGACCCGGAGGAAATCCCTCCACAACTCTTCATTTCCTTTTTCTCTTCTCTCTTCTCACACTGAGAATAGATGCAGAAATATATCGAGTTACAGGATATTCAGACATTGTTAGAGAAATTAGGGGGAATTTCTTGTTATTAAGTAGAGATTATCTCTGAAACAAATAATTTGATGTTTTCCTTTTGTTTTTTTTTCCTCATTAGGACCCTATAAACCTATTGACTTAAGAGAGATGAAGTAGTTAAAGACAACAGATACTTACGGTTCCGTATTCTCTCATTCTGAAGAATTTGTCTGTAGCATCTCAAGATTAGGCAAAATGGCAGTGGCCTCACCATCAATAACCAGAAGTTCGTCGTGGCTCTTGAAGCATTTCGTCGAGAATTTTACACTGAAAAATCAAAACGGACGAGAGGGCCAAGGATGAGATTAGCTAGTTCAACGGAAGCGAAGGACTTTCAACACAACTCAGTTTCAGATTAGCTTACATGAATTTCTTCTTGGTTTCTCTCAGAGCCGTTGCTTGCACTGACCCGAGAATTTCATCCCCTACGTAAACCGGTGACCTAAAATGAAGATTTTGAGACACGTATACCGCTCCAGGCTGCAATAACAACAAAAGATTAAGAGTTTTAGGAGAAAATCATTTGAGTACACTTTTGTGAATCTCTATGATCTTATGTCCTGTGTGTTCATTTAAGTAGAAAACCAACCGGATACATCTGATGAACAATTAGAATTAGAATACAACTAGCAATGCAAGATGAACAAAACAAGAGAGAGACTTACGAAATGGGCAGAGATGATACGGGGAAACATCGAAGCAACAAGCATTCCGTGGACAAGACGATTCTCGAACCCTGCTTTATGGGCAGTTTCAGGATTGAAATGGAGAAGGTTCCAATCATGGCTCACCTCAGCATAGTCCTTAACATCTTCACTTGAGAACACCCTTGTCTCTCTTAAAACATCTCCGACTTTAAGTGTCTGAGAAGCGACAGAAGAAAAATATCTGAAAGCACAGAGCTTTGTGGAGAGAAATCTTTTGGCAAGCATCCCTTCACCTGAAGAGGAGCTGGAAAAAAATAACAAGTAGACCCGCCTCTATAAGCTAAACAGAGAAGATACCACTCTTACAGTTACCATTGTTCTCAATCAGTCATTTTGTAAAACACTTTGCAGACAAGACGTTGAAACGTGCTGAATTGCATCACTTTCTGAGAACTAAGATAATATCCAAATTCTTGCAATATATACAGAAACCAGAATACACAGGAATCTCATCTGTCTTTTGGCTCCACAGAAACTGGAAATCATGCAATATACACAAATGGAACGATATGCATTCTTTCCTCCTTTTTTTTCTATGTCAGCCAATCCGGAATGAAGAAATGCTAAGGAAACGAGTGAAAAACAGAACACAAGAACAAAAGTCTTGGGTTTATAATTTCTATGTTAAAAGAGTAAAGCGACATAAAATACAACTATGAGCATTTAAAACAGAATATACATACAGTACCGAAACCAGTAAGATAATAGAATAGGCAATCCAATTCGATCACACAATCGGGTATGGCATTTCGAGAGACCAAAAATCCCAAACTTTTGGAACTTTGAGAGACCCAAAATCCCCAAAAGTTCAATCAGTAATTTCAATTTTTAATGGTCCATGATTCATCTTTCTCGTTTATAGGGCGACCAAATCTCAATGCCTTCCTGCCATGAACCACCTATTCCAGCTAAGCTAGAGCTGGAATAAAATCTGTTCAATTAGGATCATGCAAATGCCTTTCGAGAATCAGAAACAACAGAACCAGCAACCAGAGACAAAGACATCATCAGACAAATTCTGTCCAGTTAGGATCTTCCTTAACCGAAATCTGTAAAGACCAGCCACACCCAGCAAACTAATGCATTCCAAACAAGAACATTTTCGAGTGAAAAATCTCGTCCGGAAGACCAAACACACACGTACAACCCATTAGCTTATCGGGTTGCCATTGTAATATTTTACAAACAAATAGGAGGATTAAAAAATGGCGAGCAAGTTCTGAGTTAAGATTTACTCTAATCATCACCACAAACACCTAAAATCATTGAATTCAGAACCTGAATCGGATCGGATCCACGGTACGGATGAAAAAAGAAACAAATATGCAACTGAAATGCATTAGATACAGAGATAGAAATGAAACTACGGCTAATGCACGATTCAAATCAATCACATTAACATAAAAATCTTGAACAAATCAATCACATCCTCTTCTTCTTCCGTGTCTATTAAATTCAAATCCTTAGACCGATAATAACTTTCTCCTCTTCTATTATCTCGTTCAAAATTTTGGGTATCCTTCTGATCTGAAACCCTAGTTTTCTCAAATCAAAAAAAAAATTTGGATCAAACCCGTAAACTTCGACGAACCCAAGTTCTCACCAATCACATACTCTGATCAAACCTCTCCAGTGTCGAATCCCTTCCTATCGCCGGAGATCTATCCGCATTACTCTCAACGAGACTTGTGGCTTCCACGTCTAGGAAATGAGGAAATAGCTCGATGGGCACATCGAGGACACATTTTGAATTTATGGGCTGATTCAGGCCAATTTGTTCGATGGGAGAAAGAGAGGAAGGAAGATTTTCGTGCCGTCAATGGAGGGAGATGATGGTACTTCTCTGTCTGAAGAAGAAAGGTTTCCAATCAATGATGGGTTAAACCATAAACCCATTACGCTTTTAAGCATATCCAAATGGGTTGGGTTTAGAATATAACCCTGACATTACCGAGTAATTCTACAGAAACACTGTTTGTCGTGTTTTTGTACAAAACAACGTGACGTGACTTTCTACAAGCATGAAACGGCACAATGTTCGTACTCACCTCATTGATTCCATCTCCCATGTCAAAGCCGAGCACACAACACTTTTTTTTTTTTGATAATCCGAAAATTCACCGGACTTTTGGTCCGACTATATCTTCCAGAGAACTGTAGAAGTCCAGGTGAATATCCTCTCCACATTTGGATTTGAATCCAGGGTGGAAGCATGTTTTGCATGTTCTCTCACCACTAGGTCACCCAAACTTGGGTGAGCACAATACACTTAATCTCACAACAATGATGAGAAGACACGCCGGGACCGGAAATGGATTCACGGATATTAATGGAAGTGAGATGGAATTTACCCATCCGAGATTGACTTTTCGTCGAATCTCCGCTTTAGAGGTTCTCTTTTTTTCTAATTGCACTAATAAAACTATCATGTTCTTCCGTTGGTACTTTCTACACTTGTTTCCGTTTTTTTTATTGACTTCACTCATCCATGCAAAACGAGCCAAGTTTATCATACTTTGATTCATATCGGTTTCTGGGTTTTGGGCATTTAGCTCTTAGTTATGATAAAGTTTTACCCTTTTCGCACAATTTGTGTAAAAGTTGCACAAATGATCGAATGGATTCTTGGATAAGTTTTAGTTGAATTCATGGTTAGGTTCGAGAGTTAGAGAGAGAGAGAGAGAGAGAGAGAGAGAGAGAGAGAGAGCTTGAAGCTATGTCGAAGTGTTGAAAATCAAAAGATGAGTTTTGGCCAAGTGATATTAGGGTTCACTCCAATTAAGCACCTCTAATAGACTCTGAGCATAAGGATGTTACGGAAGGAGCTTGGGTTAGAAGTCTTCAAAAGGATTCCTTGTAACAACAAGTAGTAGTGTTGAGAAAGATGGTGTAATCTACTTGAATGAATGATGAGATTGTGTTTCAATTGTGTTCAGAGAAAATGCCAAGCAAATCAATTTAAGTTCAGTGATATCATTAGAAGATTTTTTTTTGGAGTCCTCTTAAAGTTTTTTCTTTGTCTTAAACAATAACCTCTTTCCAGGATTCTTCGAGATATAAGTTTTTATGAGGGATTCCCATTCAAGTTCTGAACCATAATGGTTGTGTTAGGGTTCAGACTCTCAATCAGCTTCAGAGAGAAAATTCCAGTAGCTTTATTGATCACCAAAACCAGATACAATTCGGATAGTTTTGATTAGAAAGAGGCCCTTACTCTCTTCCCCACACAATTTCTTCAACAGAATATGCATAAAATCCCTTTTTTCTTTCTCCTAGCTATTTATACAATCCCCTCCTAACAGAAACAACAACTACTAAAACGAATCTAACTAACATCCAAACAACCAACAACATATATGTTATCTAAACAACCAAACAAACAAAACAATAGCTGCGTACCTTGCTCTCAGAACTTCACATTGAATTCAACCACTTCCCTCTGCTTCCACGGTCCTCTTCAAGCTCTTCCTACCCCTGACGTAAACTCTATAGTACTTATCAATACCCCCCTTTTTGTTTCAGCTTGTCCTCAAGCTGGAAAGTGGAAAATTGCTTGCTCAAATCTTCAGCCATCTCCCAAGTTGTCTCGTGCTCCGGTACATCTGCCACTCAATCAAAACTTCCAACAGCCCATCCTTAGAATACCTGAAGTCCTTGATCTCTTTTGGCTGCACTTGCAATTCCAGTTCCTCTGTCAATTGTCTTGGAATCTGGCTAGTTGCAAATTGCTTCCCACTGCTTTTTTAAGCTGTGAAATATGAAAAACAGGGTGAATACTGCAACCCTTAGGTAAAATCAGTTTATAGGCTACCTTCCCAACTCGCGCTTCCACTTGGAATGGACCATAAAATCTGGCAGCTAACTTCTGATTACCCCTTGCTGCTAGTGTCCTCTGTCTATATGGTCTGATTTTCAGATACACCCAATCCCCAACCTCCAATACCAATTCTCTTCTCTCTTTGTCAGTTACAACCTTCATTTTCTGTTGTGCTGCTTACAATCTCTGCTTGATCTCTTCTAACATTCTGTCTCTTTCCTTCAATGCCTTCTCCAATTCAAAATTTGTTGTTGATCCCTCTTCAAATTCAACAACACTGGTGGTTCTCTGCCATACACAATCTGAAAAGGAGTAGCCTGTAAAGCTGTATGAAAAGCAGTGTTATACCCGAATTCCGCCTAACTCAAAAACTGAATCCATTTCCTCGGATGCGTATTGGCATAACATCTCAAATACGTCTCCAAACATCTGTTCAACACCTCTGTTTACCCATCCGTTTGCGGGTGATAAGTTGTGCTATATTTTAGCTTCGTCCCCGCCATCCGAAAGAGCTCTGACCAAAAATTACTGAGAAAAATCTTGTCTCGATCCAACACTATCATTTTTTGGAAACCCATGCAGTCTCACTACTTCCTGTACGAACGCTTTAGCAACAACCATGGCTGAGAAAGGGTGTTTTAAAGCTATGAAATGTGCATACTTACTAAGTCTATCCACCACGACCAACACAACATTATAACCTGCTGATCTTGGAAGTCCTTCAATGAAATCCATTGAAATGTCTTCCCAAATCCGTTGAGGAATGGGCAAGGGCTGTAATAACCTTGCATGAGCCAAAGTCGAGTATTTTTAGCTTTGACAAATTGCACATTCTGATACATATTTCCGAATATTCGACTTCATCCCCATCCAATGGAATACCTTCTGTATTCTTTTCAAAGTTTTAAGCACCCTTGAATGATCTCCTACTACACTGTCATGAAATTCAGCCAAGATTGTAGTAATGGAGCTTGAATGTCGAGATATTACTAACCTGTTCTTATACCTCAGATTCCCTTGTATCATATGATATTTTTCCACCTTCTCTTGCCCTTCTTTCAGTTTGTCCACAATGTCCTCTAGTTCCATATTCTGTTCAATCTCTTTCTCTAACTCCTCCAACTGAATGTTTTTCGGAATAGTCAGTGCTAATGCCAGAAATGTTGATTCTAGATTTGCATTGTGTGGCATTCTGGACAGGCCATCTGCTGTTTTATTCTCCACTCCTGGTCTGTAGACAATCTGAATAACCCAGTAGTTTAGTAAGCCAACGTTGGTATTCCATACTCACCTCGCGTTGTTCCAGGAGGAATTTTAAAGCTTCATGATCTGTGCAAACCAGAAACTTTCTACCCAATAGGTAATGTCTCCAACGTTGAATAGCTAGAACTACTGCCATTAGCTCCCTTTCGTACACTGGTTTCAATCTCTCCCTATTAGACAAAACTTGACTAAAGAAGGCAATTGGTCTATACTTCTGCATTAGGACTGCTCCGATGTCAAACCCTGAGACATCCGTTTCAACCACAAAAACATCTCGGAAATATGGTAATCCAAGAACCGGAGCAGTTATCATTGCTTGTTTTAATTTCTAAATGCAATCGAAGCATCTTCAGACCAATTAAACCCGTCTTTCTTTAGTAAGTCTGTCAAGGGACGAGCTATAGTGCCATAATCCTTCACAAAATGTTTGTAATATCCTGTCAGCCCCAAAAATCCTCTCAGTTCTTTCACATTGCTTGGTGCTGGCCACTTTTGCATAGCTGTAGTCTTAGCAGGATCTGTAGAAACTCCTTCCTGAGATATTATATGTCCCAAATAATCAATCTGGTTCTTCCCAAATTCACACTTCTTCCTGTTAGCATACAATTTGTGTTGCTGTAAAACTGTTAGCACTTCCTTCAAATGAGTTGCATGTTCCTTTAGTGAGTTGTTGTATACTAATATATCATCAAAGAATACCAGTACAAACCTTCGAAGATAAGGCCTGAAAATCTCGTTCATTAAGGCTTGGAAGGTTGCTGGAGCATTAGTAAGGCCGAATGGCATTATTAAAAACTCATAGTGGTCGTCGTGCGTTCTAAATGCAGTCTTGTGAATGTCCTCAGCTTTCATTCTGATTTGGTGATAACCGGACCTCAGGTCCAATTTTGAAAACACCACTGCTCCATGTAATTCATCCAAAAGTTGGTCTATCATAGGTATTGGAAACTTGTCCGAGACTGCAACATTGTTCAACGGTCGGTAATCTATGCAAAACCTCCAACTCCCATCTTTTTTCTTTACTAATAACACAGGACTTGAAAAAGGACTCTGGTTCGATCTCACTACGCCAGCCTTTAACATGTCTTTTACTAGTTTTTTAATCTCTTCCTTGTGTGCATGTGGATATCTGTAAGGTCGGACACTTACAGGGCCTGCTCCTTCCTTAAGGTTTATTGGATGTTCTCGCCCTCTTAAAGGTGGCAGTTCTGTAGGAATTTCAAATACTGATCCAAACCCTTCCAACACTGCATGTAACACTTCTGGAAGCTTTGTACTCAGCCCTTCACTCTCCTCTAGTGCTCCAAATTTCACAATGTAACTCTGATCCCCTTCACAAACTGATTTAATCAGTGATCTAAATGTCACTAATGAATTATGTAAGGTAGGATCACCTGTAACTGTCACCAATGATGCACCCTGATTGAACTTCATCTCTAGTCATTGAAAATCCATTTGAATTTTTCCCAACTTCTGCAGCCACTGTACTCCCAAAATCATGTCTGCAGTTCCCAATTTTAAAGAAAGAAAGTCTTCTACAATTCCAGCTGTTGTAGCTGTAGACGTACTGCTTTACATACCCCACTTCCTCTGACTTTCATTCCTGTGTCCAGAGATACTCCAAAATGTGTATTGCTTTTAGGTCTTAACTCTAGCTTTGTCATTAACTTCAAGGATATGAAATTATGAGTTGTTCCACTATTCTATCATTACTACCACCTCTTGTTTTTCCACTGATCCTCGGACTTTCAGTGTCCTCGGTGAAGTTAAACCCATCACTGAATTGAGTGATAACTCAGCAAACTCCCCTTCTTTGCTGTGATTTTCTTCTTCAGTTTCCCCTTCTTCTTCCATGTCTTCCATCGGATCAGTCTCCTCCTCTGCCAGAATGACATGTAACTCTTTCTGCTTGCATCTGTGTCCCACAAAAAAATTTTCATCACATCTGAAACACAGCCCTTTCCTTCTTTTTTCTTCAAATTCTGCATCAAACATCTTTTTGAATGTTGACTTTCTCTCTTGTCCTCCCCTTTCCACATTATTTATTTTTCCTCCAATGATCTGTTTCCTTTTTTCCTGAAAACTGTTTCTGGAGAACTGATTCTGAAACTTGTTGTGATTCTCAGTTGGTATTGATATTGTTCGAAACGTCGATCTTGAATTTCCTGATCTGATATTTCTGTCATCTCCTCCCCATTTTCCCATACACACAGTACTCAGCTTACTGCCTTCAATGCTCAAAGCTACATCCACAATCTCATCCATTCCTCTAGGCCGAAATATTTGTAAAACCTCCATAATTTCTGATTTTAGTCTATTTTTAAATGTACTTTCTATCATTTCCTCTGGAGTATGGGGAACCTGGGCTAACAATTCCTCAAATTCACAAAGGTATTCCTCGACCGTACCTGTTTGTCGTAGTGAAAGGAGTCTGTCGAATGGTGACCCTACTCTCTTTTCTCCAAATCTTCTTCTCATCCTTTCTCTGACGTCCGCCCAGTCTCTAAATGGTTTCTTTCCATTCTGATAATCATACCAGCTCAGTACATATCCGTCTATACACATGGCCGCCAATCTCAGCTTCTCATTCTCTGAACAATGTCCCATCGCGAAGTATCTCTTTCCTCTTGTAATCCAGGCATTCACGTTCATGCCTTCAAAGACTGGCATCTCAATTCTTTTGAAATGCGAGCTACTGCTCCCAACGAATCGCTCTTGTTGACGGTGTCATTATCCTCTTCTGGTTTCGAAATCGGATCCTTAATCTCTTGTTCGACCTCCTATGCTTGATCGCACCAGTTTTCGAATCTGGATTGCAATCAGCTTTCGGAACTGAGTCGCGAATGCTTTGCGATCTCTCCGGTGCTATTGTCGGTGGCGGAATCGCATCAGGACAGGATTCCTGACGATCGCGATTTCCATCGAGCATCCGACAGAGTCTCGACAGCATCTGTTCCATCGAGTCGATTCTCGAGCACTATTTCTCTAGGTAATCCATCTTCGAACATTGTTTTTGTAATCCGTCCATCTTCGCGCACTGTTTTTGTAAATCCGCCATTGTTTCTTCGATTTTCTCGCATCTGTCATGCACTGTATCTTCCAATTGCTCCCAACGTTGATTGTTGCTCTTCGTCATGGTACAGACTCACTCTGATACCAATCTGTTAGGGTTCAGACTCTCTCAATCAGCTCCAGAGAGAAAACTCCAGCAGCTTTATTAATCACCAAAACTAGGTACAATTCGGATAACTTTGATTAGAGAGAGGCCCATACTCTCTTCCCCATACAATTTCTTCAACAGAATATGCATAAAATCCCTTTTTCTCTTCTCCTAGCTATTTATACAATCCCCTCCTAACAGAAACAACAACTACTAAAACGAATACTAACTAACATCCAAACAACCAACAACATATATGCTATCTAAACAACCAAACAAACAAAACAATAGTTGCGTACCTTGCTCTCAGAACTTCACCTTGAATTCAGTCACTTCCCTCTGCTTCCACAGTGCTCTTCAAGCTCTTCATGCCCCTGATGTAAACTCTGTAGTACTTATCAGGTTGCTTGTTATTTCAAGGGATAGTGAAGAAAATCGATCTTTATGGGAAACTGAATGGGCATGGGGGATGCGTGAATGTAGTGGAGTTCAACTCCACCGGTGATATGCTTGTTTCGGGTTCTGATGATCGACAAATAATGATATGGAACTGGTTGGATAGAAGCAGAACATTGTCATATCCCTCTGGCCATTGTGACAATGTTTTCCAGACTAAGATCATGCCATTAACAGATGACCAGAAAATAGTAACTTCTGTTGTCGATGGACAAGTAAGGTTTACCTCTTGCACTGTATCTATCACTCTTATCACTCTTCTTCTTCTAACCAAACATCGTTTACTGATGATATATTGTTTGATCTTCAGACCAAATGTTCAGACACAAAATGTATCAGTGGCATTCTCTTAAAGGACAATAGAGATATTAGATAAATTGTACTATTCCAAATCATAACTGCTTGAAACACGGAACTTATTTCAGATCTTGAATGGTTATGTCTCGATGTCGGGTCATTGTTTCTGAAATTTTAAACTGTCAAGGCCATCCAAGCTAGCTGGTCAAGTCAAGATATGTCTTGAATGGTTATGTCTCGATGTCGGGTCATTATTTTCCCAGGAGAGACTTGGTGAAGTATTGGAAAATGGTCAAGTCAAGATAAAAAGACTAGGGAGGCACCATGGTCGCATATACAAGCTAGCTGTAGAGCCAGGAAACCCTAACATATTCTACAGCTGCGGCGAAGATGGTTTCGTTCAGCACGTTGGTTTCGGACTCTTAAATTGTTAAATCTTTTCTCTTTTCATGAGCTCAATCTTGGACATTAACCTCTCTCGCTCTCTCTCTTGCAGTTTGATCTATGAAGCAACACTGCCACAATGCTCTTATACTGCCTTCCCTTCAGCAAAGGCTGCAGGAAACATCCGAGCAGGTTAAGACTAGATGCCATTGCAATAAACCCGAGAAAGCCTCACTATTTCTCAGTCGGGGTTCTGATGAATATGCTCGAGCCTACGACATCAGGAAATGCCAATGGGCTCCTCCTGTGTGTCGCCAAAACAATCCGGACAAAACCCGTCAAACCTTTTGTCCGCGTCACATCCGAGAAACCAGCAACATTCACATCACGGGTTTGGCGTATTCAAAGGCGGGTGAACTGCTCGTCTCCTACAACGACGAGCTCATATATCTGTTTAAAAAGAACATGGGTTTAGGTTGCTCGCCGACATCCCTCCCTCCTAATAGATTGCAAGAAATGGAAGAATCGGAAGTGTACGAAGGTCACCAGAATGCAAAGACCGTTAAAGGAGTAAACTTTTTCGGCCCAAATGATGAATACGACATGAGCGGTTCGAACCTGAGATGCAGGTTGAGAGACGGTTCCTCATCTGGTGGATCTGTAAATTATGGAAAATGGGTTCCTTACTGGAAGCAAGGGATCCGAGATTGGGAGGAGAGTTCTCGTACGAGGATGTCGAGATGGTTCTGAAACTTGGATTGCTCTGCTCAAATCTCTTGCCAGAATCCAGACCAACAATGGAGCAAGTTCTGCAATACCTACAAAGAAATGTACCATTGCCGGATTTCTCGCCATATACTCCAGGAATCGGCGCTTTTGCTCCGGCGGGTATCGATACATCCACCCTCGTAGTCTGTTCATCGGCACCCTCGACATCTTCATCTTCGACTCGTTGTGCTTCGGCCCAAATGATGAATACGACATGGGCGGTTCAGAATGTGGGCATATATTTGTGTGGAAGAAGAAGGGATGGAGGCTTGTTCGGGCAATGGCGGGAGATAGGTGTGTGGTGAATCAGGTTGAGCCACATCCGTACATACCAGCTCTTGCTACCTGCGGGATTGAGGCGAACGTTAAGCTCTGGGCTCCGATGTCAAATGATATTCCTTCTCTACCAGTAGATATTGATAAGGTATGGGTAGTATGTACTTTATACTTGTTTTACACTCTGATTTAATGGGCACTTAGTGGAATATATCAAATATGCACACTGGTTCTGAGGGGGCGGTGGATACATCCAAAGGTCTTCGGAGTACGAGTACCGAACCCAAGAACTATTTTAAAAATAACATATTTATAACAAAAATGCATAATATCCTCAACAGATGCACACAAGTATTGGTTCGATTTTTAACTATCCATATCCGCGGAAGATCGGATACCCAAAAACTTGGCATCCATGGATCGGATATCCGATTTTCGAGATTAGTCAAGCAAAAAGATATGAACAAGTTATCATCAGATAGACATAAATAAGCTGCAACGCACTTTCTGGGTGGCAACAATGCATGTCTATAGAAAACCGGATTTAGAGTCACGTGTTTTCTCTAGTGGTTGTGTAGCAAAGGGATATTTAGATTCGTGTGTGTTTTTCCAGCCCTCTAAACGCAATGGATGTCCTTCTGTGATCGTTCTTGCAGATTATGGGATCGAACAGAGTGGGGAGAGAGGGCCAGTCGAGGGTGACACTTACACCCGATGTGATCATGCATGTCCTCCGGCTTCAGAGACGTCAGACTCTGTTTTACGTCGAGAGAAGATACGACGGACCTTATTCGGATACCGACGATGCCCGTTTCGTGGCGGGTTTGGTCGGATATGACGAGTCCTCCAGAGACTGCAACATTAGTTAAAACAAGAAAAGAATTGTCAGAGTCCTGAAGGAAGAAAGGTTGTGCCTGCATGCGGTGTATGTAGTTCATTCGGTGGTTATTACTGTTTACATGTTTCTCATGCTAATAATATATGGTGATGTCTTTTTTGCTTTTCGGTTTGTGTGTAATAACTTACACTGACATTATATCAAAAATACCCTTACTTTGCTATTTCTACTTCAACACATACTCTTCTCCAATTGTGACCATGTGATTCAAAATATAGTGTGATCACATTTTGATTTTATTGATTATAACGTTAAATTTATGGTGATCTCACTAATTATTTAACGTTATATATTGTATATCTTACTAATTATTTGATTAAAACATCATAAATTTAATGTTATGAGTAATGCGATCAACATGTAAACATAACATGTAAACATACTATATTTTGGGTCATATGGCTCACATGGTCACAACCGGTGGATATGTGTTAAAATAGGAATAGCAAAATAAGAGTATTTTTGATAATAGCCGATGAACATGTTCCTGTTCGAAACTTAGTTTTTTATAGAAATAAGAATTCAGATTTTGTTTTAGGATAAAAATAGTTTAGATATTGAGAAATTCGGAATTTTTCTTTAAATTTCGTCGAAAAATAAAATCAACACTTATGGCCGCAAATTCCCCCGCCACAACCCCAGCGTAAGAAGAAAAAACAAGAACATTTTTCATTTTACACTAAAAGTTGAGTTCAGATCGATTCAGATAAATGAATTATCTGATTAATATTTAAGTAAACTGATCGAGACTAAGAAGATTAGACCATTAAGCTAATTGGTCCAAAAGAATTTTTAATTATTACTAATTAATAACATAAATATTTTCAATATATATATATATATATACGACAGTTGTGTAAAAAAATAGATATTATTAGTATTACTGTAAATATTTACCACAATCAATAACTTTCTATTGTTGTCTATGATGTGTGTGTGTATATATAGAGAGAGAGAATATAAACTAAGCTTTATTCGACTGATAGATAGTGTGACTACATTGGACATTGAGCTCAATTCAAATTGTGGTCACCTTAGTAGTGCAATTTTCCACTTTCGTGTTTTTTTTTTTACCAAAAAAAAAACGGAAAAAAACATAACGCTCCAAGTCCATGCAGAATGCTTTGTTAATATCTTTTGATATCCTTGAACATTTAACCCGAGTGAACACATAATAAAAAAAAAAGGATAAGGAGACAATTAAGTTACATTATTAAATTTTAGATTGAGAAATAAATTACGTGAAACTAATCCAAACAAAGTTAATATAAAAATTGAATGATGATACTTTTATAAATCTAAAAAACCGAATTGGAATTGAATTTTCTTCAAAAAAACTATTTTTCTTTATAAAAATTAAAACTGCAACAATCAAATCTAATATATAAACAAATGAGTATAAATTTTTTTAAAACTAAAAAATAACAACAGAATCGAATTTTCAAGCATATTTATTTGTTAGTGAAATACCCACGTGAAAAAAGCACGAATTTTTCAAGCATATCGCGGTAATAAAAAAAAACAATCCGGGTTTGGGTCTCTGTCGTTGCCACCTAAAAACAAACCCCGAATACAAAAATTCAAAAAAAAGGGAGAAAAAAAAAAACAGAAAAAGAATGGAACAGTGTAGTATAGTACGCATGAGGTGAATCCATTGGCTCAGTGTCGCCGGTTCAAGCCTATCTATTCATGGCCAAGTTCCGACAGCTTCTTCCAATAGTTACGGGATCTGAAACCTGATTGGATCCTTCATTTATGTTTTCACTGTCAAAAAATAGGACAGAGATTAGCATATGCAGAAAAGAAAACTTCAAGTTTCATGATTTTGCTTTTGATTATATATATATATATATATATAGATATATATATCCCAAACTTCCAAGTTTTGTCCATGATTCGCGTTAATAATCTATCAGAATCGTGTCTCTAACCAAATACACATCACTTGTTTTGAAGGTTTCCGTTTTCAATGTGTGTCAATATCATGCAAGGGTGGTTTTCTATTAGACAGGAGAGAGCGGCAATTAGTGAACCAAACATTGCCAATAGTTATTACCTTGATAGCTATGGCGGAGGATGTGGGGGTTGCATGAGATGGTGGTACGGGTGAGATGTGTTACCCGCAGTGGATGGGGAGGCCAAGTAGAGGCCGAAGAGTGTTAGATTGGAGAAGGGTCGAGGAGGAAGGAAAGAGGCGGTGGATGAAAAAGGTGTGGCCGAGACTGAGAATCCTGATGATGCTGCATTGCCCAACAATGGCTGACTTTGCGCTTGCCATATCCTGGTAGGAAACGTTTGCTGTCGAGAACGTGACTCGACGATACCTTCCTCCAGTTTCCTTTCCTGCAAAAAGAAAAGAACGGAAACCGTAATCTCAACACGAGAAAGAAAGAAAAAAAACATCTACTCTCTTCAGTCCACATTCTAGTCATTGATATTGTATGGGTTATCCAAAGTTGCAGTGGAGAACTCATAGCCATTACACCTTATAACCCGCAATTTCTGAAAGAAAACCCTACAAACCGACAATATAAATTAGGCCAAGACTCTGCGAGTGATGAATATCTTACACCATCAATATTATACGTACCCTTCTTAAAAGCTAAATGAATTCACTAAACGTGGGAATTGTTCATTGGCCTGCTGAATTTTGGATCAGTTTAAGGCAGATGTCATAGAGATTTTAGCAATAAGATACAGAAGATTGTGTGTCTTATGAGTCTGAGGAAATATATATACACAGATATCAATACCACGGGATGTGTTCATTGGAAAGTACCTCGGCTGAAAAGCAAGGGTAAGGTGATGCATTCCAGGGAATAGGATGGTCCGAACCCCTCTTCAAGAAATCGAAAGGCGGATTGTGCACTGCAACAGCCATGCGGTTCTCCAACTGTGATCATAGTTCGAAAGGAAGCATGGTGAATTTTGGGTCAAGGAAGAACCACAAAACTCAAGGTAGGAAGGATTCTTTTATTCTGATAACTAGAGGAAGAAGTAAATGTTGAAACAAATCTAGCAACAAATTTTGCATCTTCTGATTTGTAGAATTGCAATGAGAAATAGTGGAGAAAGTGGTTCAACTACACGTTCAGTCGATATGCTTACGATGAAGTATAATAGTGAAGTATATGTAGGAGAGTGCACCTTGGAGTCCCATCCACCTACAATATCAGTATGGTCACGATGAAGCTGGAGGCTCCTCTCATTTTGCTGTGGATAATTCCCGACAGGAGGAGATATTCCCAAGTTGAGGTCAAGTTTTACATGAGCTGGACAAAAAAAAATCAGTAACGAAGCCAACAAGAAGTCATTTCTAAAATGTCGTGGCAAGATATCAAAGATTTGGGGAACAACTATATAATGGCATAGAGTAATACCTCTATTACTTGCCTCAGGTATCATCTGATAAGCACGAGCCTCAATATTGGCAGTTGCGTTCCTTTCATTCCATTCGATGGCTGCTTTGTCATAAGCCCTAATGTCCAGAAGATCCAAACTCATTAGAATTGAAAAAGACCAGATGGTTCATTTGAGCTTTGTCCATTTGAGCTCCCCACCTGCCAAATTTTGCTCCTTGATATCTTGAACCACCCCTTGAGAAGCCGGTACTTTGACGGCGAAGTATTTGCACAAATTCCTCCTTGGTAAGATTCGCCATCTGTTAAAGTTTTGAGATCAGCTAACAACATATGAAAACAGGTATATAACCATTTTACTTTTCGACAAATGGCATTCAAACCCGTTTGGTATCATCTTCGTAATCGCTAACACTGAAATTGATATCAGCGTCCAAACCCCGGAACTTAATTGCAGCCTGATCATAGGCCCTACATGAGAGAAGAGAGATGCTGAATATACTAGTTACTTATCGCAATATTAAACAGAACCTATGTATATATACAAAACACAAGTTTCTGTAGGTGTTACCTAGCTGCAGCATGAGCAGTGTCAAACCCACCTGCAGAATCCAAAAGTTGAGTTTATTACAAGACAAAAGAACACAACAGAAATCAGTTTGCAGTAACACATGGTAAACTGATCGAATGAATGAATCCATACCCAAATATACTTGTTTACCGCAATCCCTGCACAAACAATTACACAAATTGAGAAAAAAGAAAAGTTAGTACAAAAACGGAGGCTCGAGCCTGGACTTGAAAGACAGAGATTAAGGTATCTCAAATTGATGCCAACAATGATATGCTTAACCCCACTTCGACCATGACCATGACCAGATTCGACCAAAGCTTATCAATGAAGGCGCATCAAGAATCCGTGTCATCGATAACTTGAAAAAGACAACAGAAAGATAAGATTACCAGATATGTGATTCCCATCTCCCAGTCCTCCTGTAGAACGTAACGCCTCTGTACTGCGAGCTCTTAGACCTTGGCCCTCTCCGGCTTTTCTTCACCGGCCGTGAAGTTTGCTGCATCTCCCGCTTCGCACCGCCGCCGACGCCATGTCCGAGAATCTCACCAGCTTGTTTCCAACTCTGGAAGGAAATATCAACGGAGTTTTTGCAACTTTGTTGCTCCGAAATCAGACAGCCCCTGCCATTTCCGTTACCTCCAGTGACCGGAAAGAGCTCCTTGGTCATCACTACTTCCTTCTCTGCTTCTCCTTCTCTGTCTCCACCTTTCAGTATATCAAAATGGAACGTGACGGCGCGTGTGGAGCACGATTCTTCTTCCCCGTCGACGCAGTTAGTCCCATCGGCGTTGACGACGGAGGAGTTCGAAGTCACCGATTCATCCATCTGATTCGACACAACACCCGAAATCCCCTTGTCCCTGGCGGAGTCTGCTCCCTCCTGAATCGATTCCGCCGAACCGACCTCCAGATTGAGATCCAGCATCAAATCTCAACACAATCAACACAAATTCCAACTCAACTTCCTCAACTCACAGAAGCAAAAGCAATTTCGTTAAGCGATTTCGCATTCATTCATCAAGCTGTTCGTATAGCTCTCACATATTCTCACCAAAGCTATAAATCAAATCGGTGAACCACGACCAAAACTCTCATTTTAATTGCGACACCCACGGGCACGTATAACCGGACAGAGAAAAAACCTAGAATAGCGAGATTGAAGGTCCTTCCGAGTCCCGACCAGGAATGACTGGAAAGCCGCTGACGATCGGAAAATCGTCGATCACGCCGGAGAACGATGAGACTGAGGAGTCATCGCCGTGAGAGTTCCCGGCGAAGTCAATGAGGCGATAAGGAGCTCCGACGGCCGGAGATAAACCGTCGGCGATAGAGACGGGTTTTGTTGGGACGTGAGGTTAAGCACTATGGAGCCCGCACTTAAGTGGCGAGAAAAGGAATATAAATTTGTTCCTCTTTCCCGGTTACTCCGGTCTCCGGTTCCCGAATTTTTGTTTCATTAAGTTCGATATCTAAAGTAATAATAAAATTATGATGGTGTAAGTAAATTTGTTCGAATTTGAAAATTTACAGAAAAAAGCGTGTACAATAGTTTGAATTGCCTTACGAATGGATATAGATATTTTGTTAATTTTGATTACAAATATAATTAAGCCTAATTATGTTCTCATAAATATTTTTAGAAATACCAATAAATTATTTTGAAATATATTATAGGAATTAGTGAAATAATTGAGTGCCATGCATGAATGTTCACATCATACACAGAGTAAGAAAAGAGTATCATTGTTAAAATTATAATGGTTACTTGCAATGAGAAGCAATAACAAAAATTATCATTGCTAAAAAATAATAATATTATTGTAAAAACAGTTTAGAGGTATGATGATTTTGAATATATTATTTTAGTTTTGAGAAAAAATAAAAAAAATCGTCTGTTTTTATGAATCTATCTATATATATTAAAATATAAAAGAATGAAAAGACGAACTTCTAAAATTTATTACCCAAACAATAATAATAATTAAAACTTTTTTCCTAATAATTATGTATATATAAACAAATAAGAACTAATTATTTTAGAAAACTCTAGCTAAAATAAAATATAAGAGAAATAGGAAAAAAAATGTATTTAACCAAAAAAATCTATGCAGGTTGTGTTTTGCACGTAAAAAATATTCCTTGTTTCGAGTGATTTTCGGAGAGCCAATTGAGAATTCCGACCGGCTATAGCCAGTTGCGAAAAATCTATATGTCAGAGAAATCTCAAAGAATAGATCTTTTGACGAATAGAAAAGTGGCACGTGTACAACATAGAATCAACCCCAACCGTCCAACCACTCTCTAAGGTCAACATCTTCTTCACCTGTCCTTTTGATCCGACGGTCCACTTCCCTCCCTGCATTCCTGAAAATCAGGAATTTTCCAACTTTTTAAGAATTTCACTCGCACACACAAACATATATATATATATATATATATATTATTGACATATATTTTCAGACATGTCACATAATATATGTGATAAAATTTGGGACATTTCAATTAATTAGAAAAAATAAATACTCCCTCTATTTCAAAATAACTGTTGTTTTAAGAAAAAAGATAAAAAATCACATATAACCTTATTTAATGATAAAAACAATATTATCATTAATAATTTATTGGAATTTGATAGGGATAAAATTGGAAACTATTGTAAAAAATATCTCGAAAATATAGAATGACAAATATTTTGAAATATAGAAAATAATCTAAAACTACAAATATTTTTGAAACGCAGTGAATAATATATAAAAAAAATGGGAAATGAATCGAAGACGTGGACACTTTTTATCCGTAAAATATTATCATTAATAATTTATTGGAATTTGATAGGGATAAAATTGGAAACTATTGTAAAAAATATCTCGAAAATATAGAATGACAAATATTTTGAAATATAGAAAATAATCTAAAACTACAAATATTTTTGAAACGCAGTGAATAATATATAAAAAAAATGGGAAATGAATCGAAGACGTGGACACTTTTTATCCGTAAAAGGAAATGTATTTTGTGGCAACCCCTCAATATTAAACTGAATCAGATAATATATTTAATTTATAGTTGCCCACTCCAAATGCTAATATAATATATTAAATAAGTTTTTTTTACTATATTGGGTAATTTTTATATGTCGCATGTTGCATATCATTGTCCTTTCATTATTTGGACTGACCAATCATTGTTCCTGTGCAATTATTGTATTGGTCCGACTATGACACGGCAGTTTGGCCCTTTTGTCGCGGGACTAATGGAAGTTATAGCAATACCCTTATCTATTACATAATATAATATGAACACACACACATATACACATATACATATATATTAAATGAAACAAATTAAAAAAAATTGTATAACAATTAAATTGATATAATTTTTCAAAAAAAAAAATATATGAATTGAGAAATAAATGAATTGAAAACATCCATCCCCAATCATAATTATAGTAATCAGATTTACAAAATAATATATATTATATATGAATATAAATGTTGGAGATAATGGGACCATAGATTTGGGCTTATTAAGATAAATAAAAAAAAATTCCAATTAGAATATCTTTTGGGCTAGGCACTTTGGGCTTTCCATCGATGATAACAACACGTGTTTCAGATAGTGTAGCCGCACGTGTTGACACCACCACTTGGCAAGTTTTCACAAGGTTTATTTATCTTTGACGATAAGTATTTGTACATTTCAAATCTTATATTTGCAAAAGTACAAAATTATCATATTTATATTTTTTATCCGACCCGAGGATCATATTTACCGAAAAAAAGAATTCTACCTTTTACACCAAATTGAAATTGGAATCCCAAACAAGACATTGAACATGTGATTTTCATATGTGAAGAGAAAAAAATTCAAAAACTTGTATATAATTAATATAGAATTTGGAAGCTTCGGAAAAACCTCCAAATGAGTTGGCAAGAACCATGGTCAATATACTGAGTTTAGTGGTTCGATTCCTTGCCACTCATCTGTCGTATGTTAGTTACGATTTATTTACTTTTCATGTGTGTATCGCAAACTCGTGTACATGGACGTATATGGACGTGGGGGTTTATGGGAGTGTGAGGCATTGCGGGGTTCGGTCCAAAAGGTTGTATGATGGAGTACCCAAAGATATAAAAAAAACCAAAAAATGAATTTGGAAGCTTTTACCCTAAAAAAAGGCAAAACCTCTGAATGAATGGTGGGTTGATCATTAATTAATTCATCATCTTTTATAGGGCATCAATTCTCTGGGCGCCTTCCCCCTCGTCACCCACCTCCCAAAAGCACTATTCTGCCGGTAAGATTTTAATTAATTACTTTCAAAATTTTAATTCAAGCTAATTCATGGCCCCGTTTGATCATCATTGTTTCGTGCATGGAAACCGTACTGTGCAATGAACCCTAATGCCCCATGTTGATTGCATTATTCTATTGAATTTAATCTAAGATATTAGGTTGTTTTAATGTAAAAGATCTAAATACATGATTTTCCGTTTGCGAATTCGGATAGAAAATTCAACATTTGGTATCAGAATTCTGGTTCGGATTTCATTTATGAAATCTCTTATAATTTGGATACCTATGTGTTTGCATCATAGAAGAAACTGATGAAAGCTAAACAAAAGGAAGCAGCTTGAACGAGGAATAACAAAGGAGAAGTCTGCCATAATCCCACCCACCGAGGTGAGATTTTTAATTCATTGCTAAGATTTTTCATAATTAAAATTTTGATTCGAAATTTTTTTTTCCAGATTTTTTAGAATGTTGATCAATTTTGAACGGTTTTTACCATTCGTGACAAATTCACTGTCATATTAGGGTGTTAATTTTAGTCCGAATCTCGAAGTCTGGTTCTAACCACCGAAAAGTATAGGATTTTGGGTTTAAATTTATATGCTAAAAAAAATTCACTTTTCGATCGGACTTTAGATCGACCTGAAAACCCGATTTAATTTTTTTTAAAAATGAGAAAAAATCTCTGTACATAAATATAAGAGTAGGATATCAATCGGGCCGGCTCGATCCGAGTCCGCACCTGAGAGTTTCGGGTTCAGGCTCGGACCAATCCGATTTTTTCCGGATCTATATAACCAAACCCAAAGTCCGACCCTATAGATTTCCGACTCAGATCGAGTTAGGTCAAGCCGTACAATTTACATTGTAAATATATTTTTTTCTTTTTTTAATTAAGATTTATATATATCCGTGTTTTGGGCCGACCTGAATCAAGCCCGAAGTCCGATGTGAGCAAAGTGCGAAAACCTAATTTTTTTCGGACCAAAAACTTAGGTTTGAAGGCCGCTATTTTTCGAGTTGGATTGGGTCAGATTTCGGATCTCGGGCCTAAATTGACACCACACTGTTAAACGGATCGGTCTAATCCGAGTCCTATAGAACCGGACTTAGCGCTTGGTTCTATAGATCTGAAAAAATTCGGATCGATGAACTCAAAAACCCTGAGACTAAGTGCCACGTCATTTTCATGATTTACAACCGTTAGAATGCGGTTTAGCCGTGTCCTGATTCTGTCATGATATTGTGCCCACCATTTTTCGCATATCCATATATGCATAGCAAAATAGTGTATCATAGGAAATAAATAATATAATTTTGAATAAAATAAGCCAAAAATAAGGATGTAATTCAAGTGGGTTTTATTTAGAAAAAAATCATGCAAAATTCAAATTGACATCTACAAGATGGATTCAGTTAATGCCGAACAACAATGTATATATTAATACGGGGTGTGTTTTACATTACGCTTCTCTCTGCGAATTCAACTCCTCAGATGGCTTCAGAGACGGAGATCGAAGAGACTCCTCCGGTTATTGATTCTCGGTCCTACGACGGCGATGTCGGGAACAAGACCGTCAACGACAACCTTTTACTGTTCCAGAGAGTGAGGAAAAGATTCGACAAGTAAGCTGCCAGCATTTCAAAAATAAAAAATAAAAAAATAAATGTAGGATGCAAAACGCTAAAAGAGAATCTTATATACGTAGAGTCGGCATGGAGTTTCCAAAGGTGGAGGTAAGGTTCAAGAACATTAGTGTAGAGGCAGAGTGCGAGGTGGTCCGTGGAAAGCCTCTCCCTACTCTCTGGAATTCATTCATCTCCGTGAGTTTTACGCTGAATTTTTTTTTTTTGCTGAATTTTGTTCCATTTGATCTCCGTGTTCCTGAAACCTTTTTTTTTTTTTGGGAAAAATTGTGTCAGGTTTTCATGTTTGCCAAACAGCGAACAAGGAGGAGTATCTTGAGGGATGTTAGCGGCGTAATTCGACCAGGAAGGTGACAAAACAAAACCCAAACATCGGGGATCATGTGAAGTGTTGTATCTATTCGGTCTAAAAGATGGAAAACGTATCGTTGTCTGCTCGCAGAATGACGTTGTTGCTCGGCCCTCCTGGTTGCGGCAAGACCACGCTTCTTCTGGCGCTCTCTGGTAGACTCCGCAACACTTCTTTGCAGGTGCGAATTACGTTTTACATGCAACCGGGGATATCCGAAATCCGGGTACCGAGCACTATATCTGAGATGGAGATTGTGGTATAGGGTGAGAAGAAAAAAACACATCCGAAAATCGAGAATTTAAACTCGGGTTCGACTAATCTCGAGCACCCAACTCTCTGCGTCCCAATCAAAACAGATCTGAAATCGAGTAATATCTCGCGAGACTCGAAAGTCTCGAACCCGTGCCTACCCCTAGTAGATACAAAGCTACATGTGTTATGAGGATAAAACATGTGTTTCGTTTCACAGGTTGAGGGAGAAATAAACTACAATGAACACTCGTTTTCGAGCTTTGTTCCAGAAAAAACAGCGAGTTACGTGAGCCAAAACGACGTTCATATCCCCGAGTTAAGCGTAAGAGAGACTCTCGACTTCTCTGCATGCTGCCAAGGCTCCACATATAGTGACGGTGAGAAGCCTTTTCTTTTCCTTTAAAGAAAACTTTTGCTGCGTTTTTCTGCTTTGATAATATCATCTTTGTTATCTTCTTCTATGCTTCAGAAACCATTAAAGAGATCAATGAGAAAGAAAAGCTGAAAGGAATAGAACCCGATCCCGAAACCGAGACGTACATGAAGGTTATTGATACATCTTCAAAGATATAAAAGAAACATCTTTCGCCTCGACGTGTTCTGTAAATGTGTTAACCTACAGGCGGGCTCAGTGGAGGGGATGAAGAATAACATCCAAACCGATTATATTCTCAAGGTACTTTAGTTTATATTCATGTATTTAGTACTATGATTTTCCATTGTTACAAGTTTATTTACCTACATTTCAGATCCTGGGGCTCGATACGTGTGCGAATACTCGGGTGGGAGATGAAGTGATACGGGGAATATCTGGTGGGCAAAGGAAAAGATTGACAACAGGTACTTGTGCTTTATGAGCTCAAAACAGAAATTGGATGCAATGACAAAATCCCGAACCCGAATCATCGGTTTAACACTAAACAAGTGTGTATGTGGTTGTAGGCGAGATGATTGTCGGTCCGATTAGGAACTTATTCATGGACGAAATCTCCAACGGTTTGGACAGCTCCACCACATTCCAGATCATCTCTTGTCTCCGACATTTCGCGTGCATGGGCGATGCCACTGTCTTAATATCGCTCCTTCAGCCGGCGCCGGAAACATTTGAGCTGTTCGACGATTTGATTCTTATGGCAGAAGGAAAGGTAGTTTATCACGGCCCACGGACCGAAATCTGCAGTTTCTTCGAGGACTGCGGATTCAAGTGCCCGAAAAGAAAAGGTGTGGCGGACTTCATTCAAGAAGTGATCTCCAAGAAAGATCAAGAACAATATTGGTGGCGGACAGACCAACCATACGGCTATGTCTCCACAGACCAATTCATTGACCGATTCAGAAAATCGCATCTTGGATTGGAGCTAGAGGAGCTCCTCTCAAAGCCTTTCGAGAGTTCCCGAGCGCACGAGGACTCGTTGTGCTTTAGAAAGTATTCACTAAGCAAATGGGACATGCTCAAAGCTTGCACGAGGAGAGAGCTTCTCTTGATGAAGAGGAATTCTTTCGTTTACGTGTTTAAATCCGGATTGGTACGTTCCTGATCCGCACGAAAATCTTTTGGTTATCATCCTCTATACTATTTTTTAACTTTACAAAAATCGTTCGCGATGTAGTTGCTTATCGTTGCGGCAATTACAATGACGGTGTTTCTTCACACCGGAGATAGAACAGATGTGTTGGATGCAAACTACCTAATGGGATCTCTGTTCTATGCCCTTTTCGTCATCCTAGTAGACGGATATCCCGAACTAACGTTTACGTTGTCTAGACTTACCGTTTTCGGGAAACAAAAGGAAATATACTTCTATCCTGCTTGGGCATATGCAGTTCCTTCGATCATATTGAAGATTCCGTTGTCACTCATGGAATCTTTCGTTTGGAGTTCGATGACTTATTTTGTCATCGGTTACAGCCGCGAGGCATCAAGGTAAAAAAACCTTTTGAACAAAAACCAAATCATCGATCCGTGTTTTCGAGTACAAGTGAAATTAACATATCTTTGTTTTCATTTTAGGTTCTTTAAGCACTTCCTCATATTGTTTTCGCTCCATTTGTCTTCCATATCAATGTTTCGTGCCATTGCCGCATTATTACGTACTTTCGTTGCCTCCACGACCATGGGAGCAATCTCCATACTTGTTGTTGCCTTATTTGGAGGATTCCTCATACCAAAACGTGAGTATATATAGTTTACTGTAATATCTTGTACCATTTATGGACCTCTCTATTCATGTCTTTGGCCCCTTGGTTTGTCAGATTCCATGCCTTCTTGGCTTGAATGGGGATTTTGGCTTTCTCCATTGTCATATGTGGAGATTGGTATTACCACAAACGAGTTCTTGGCTCAACGGTGGAGAGAGGTGATCCATGGAAACATTACTCTCGGGGAACAAGTGTTGAGTGCTCGGGGGTTAAACTTTGGTAGTCGTTTTTATTGGGTGGCATTCTGTATTATCATCGGTTTTTCTGTGTTCTTCAATGTCGTTTTCGTGTTGGCCTTAACCTTTTTGAAGGGTAAGTTCATAAGTTCGATACACTTGAAAACCGCATATATAACATATTATTGTATGATAGCTAACTCGACACTCCAAATTCAGCTCCACAGAGGTCGAAACCAATCATTTCAGACAGAGATTCGAAACCCAAACCTGAACTCGTTCCACAGCCTAAGAACAGTTAGTTTGCCTCTACATTCTTTTAACCTCTCAAATAAGTGGAAACTTATATAATCTCTAAATTTCAATTGATTTCATTTCACAGGAAAGGTGGTTTCACCATTTGAACCCCTCAGCGTCACATTCCAAGGGGTGCAATATTATGTCGACGCTACTCCGGTAAGCATCACTTAAGAGATTCAGACCGAATTCTCTGATTCTCGAATCGAATGCAAAGCTGAACATGTGTGTATTAAACACTCTTTTGTTAGGAGATGAGGAAGAAGGGTTTGCAACAGAATAAACTGCAACTTCTCTCGGACATTACAGGTGCATTTAGACCCGGTGTTCTGACAGCTTTAATGGGCGCCAGTGGCGCCGGGAAGACAACTCTTTTCGACGTTCTGTCTGGAAGGAAAACCGGAGGTACTATAGAAGGAGAGATTCGTGTTGGAGGCTACGTTAAGGTTCAAGACACATTCGCAAGGGTATCGGGCTATTGTGAACAGTTTGATGTTCATTCTCCCAATTTAACAGTGGAAGAGTCTTTGATGCATTCCGCTTTCCTTCGACTCCCCGGTGACATCGATACCAAAACCAAGAAAGTAAGGCATAATATCTCTATATAACCCTAACTAAAATCAACCATTGACGTCTTCTTTCACTAAGATTTTCTTTTTTTTGGGGAATACATCGCTTTAGGAAATTGTCAATGAAGTCCTCGAAACAATAGAGCTTGAGGAGATCAAGGAATCCATGGTGGGTATACCTGGAAAAAGCGGTTTATCCACTGAACAACGCAAAAGATTGACAATAGCTGTGGAACTTGTCGCAAATCCGTCGATCATATTTTTAGATGAACCAACTACAGGACTTGATGCGAGAGCCGCTGCCATTGTAATGAGAGCTGTCAAGAACATTGTTAGTACAGGTCGAACAGTCGTTTGCACGATCCACCAACCGAGCATAGACATCTTTGAGGCTTTCGACGAGGTATAATATATAGTTCGGTGCATAAACACTATTTTTTTAAAGTTTTGATGTACACTTTTAGCTTCTTTTGTTGCAGTTGATTCTGATGAAAACCGGTGGAAAGCTCATCTATTATGGGCCTATCGGACAAAACTCAAGAAGTGTTATCGAATATTTTGAGGTTAGTGTGAGCCTTTCCATTTAAAATGGTTGCTTATTTGGTAGAAAGCCTCAGTGACAGCAAAAACGATTTATCTCAGAACATATCTGGAGTCCCCAAGATCCAAAGTAACTATAATCCAGCCACTTGGATGTTGGATGTCACTTCGAGATCCATGGAGAACGTTCTCGGGATTGATTTCGCGCAAACATACAAGGAATCTGCCTTGTTTATGTAAGTTTATCTCCAATCTTCGGGCACCGGTGACTGTTGCCCATTTGGTTTGTGTTCGGCATTGATGTGAAAAACTCACTGGTCTTGAGGGCAGGGAAAACAAAGTTGCGGTCGAACAATTGAGCTCAGCCCCTCGGAACTCAAAAGATTTGCACTTCTCTTCCCGTTATCCTCAAAACGGGTGGGCTCAATTCAAGGCGTGCCTCTGGAAACAGCAGTTGTCTTACTGGAGAAACCCATCTTACAACCTGACACGTCTCGTTTTCGTTTCTCTGACCTCCGTACTGTTTGGCCTTCTCTACTGGCAGAAAGCGAAGAAGATGTAAGTTAACGACCACAACCACCTGTCTGATTATAGCTTAAACTCATGGAGACTAGGATCTTCATGTCCCTTGTTTCTTTTTGTAGAAACAATGAGCAAGATGTTTTCAGCGTACTTGGCTCAATGTACATTTCGGTGTTCTTCATGGGGATGAACAACTGCTCCACAGTTCTATTTGTAGTGGCAACAGAACGAAACGTCTTTTATCGAGAACGATTTGCTCGGATGTACTCTTCGTGGGCGTATTCATGGGCTCAGGTAAACAATTTCTCATCATGGGAGGCTACAAAAACACTCGGATAAACATCTTCTTGTTGAACTCGTATATGTTTTTGCTCATCTTCATCATCAGGTAGTAGTGGAGCTGCCATACTCGCTTATCCAGTCCCTCGTTTTCATAGCGATTGTATATCCTATGATGGGTTACAGCATGTCAATTGCCAAAGTTTTATGGACTTTCTACATCATCTTCTGGTCGTTCCTCATCTTTAACTATCTGGGCATGCTCCTAGTAGCCATAACGCCAACTCTGCACGTCGCATTCACCTTGCGGTCAGCGTTTTACGCCATGGTGAACCTGTTTTCCGGCTACTTGATGCCAGAACCGGTAAGCCCACACGTCTTGAGCGTACATAGAATGCACATCTCAACATGATTCAAACCCAAAAGAATTGAAGCGCATGCGGATGCGTAAACTTTTTCACATGATTTTTTACTTGTAGAATATCCCAAAATGGTGGTTGTGGATGTATTACCTCAATCCTACTTCATGGGTGTTGAATGGATTACTCACCACACAGTATGGGGACATGAACGAGGAGATCATTTCAGTGTTCGGACAAAGGGAGACGACGGTCTCTTCCTTCTTGGAGGAATACTACGGCTACAGACAGGACATGCAAGTGGTCGTGCGCACCGTTCTTGTTGCTTTCTCGATCGTGTTGGCCTTTATGTTTGCCTTCTTCATGGGCAAACTCAATTTCCAGAAGAAGTAGACCGGCAAAAGGAATGCTTGCTTGTACTGCATTAATGATTATCCGTTTTTACAAAGACTTTGTCAAGAAACAAGAATTTGTACTGTTCGATGTCAATCAAAAGTTCAAAACGACAAAAGATGAAAAGGAAGAGACTTTACCGGTTTGGTATATAAAAATAAAATTAAACCAAACCGGTTTGAAATTAATAAACCGAACATGAGAACGAATATCATCCAAATCGGTACGCCCACACCTAGTTTTCGGTTCACGTCATTTCTCATCTGCCTCCGGATCAGTTGAGCGAAGAAACGGAAGAGAAAGCGAATGAATCATCTCCGGATCTTCGCGAGAAGATCGCTTCAGTGGCGGAGGAACAATCTCCGATCACCGTCTCCGTTTTCGTCTTCTCTCCCTCGCTCGTTCTGTCACTCCTCGGCTGAATCCAATCGGTCAGTTCTCTCCTCTCTTAGCTGAACCCTCTCTGCTTCCGATGATCTCCAGCGAACTGCCTGAGCTTTGTGTTCCTTTTCCATTGATTCTCTCTCTTTATCTTCGATTCTCTGGAAACACACAGTCCGTCCTTCGGCATTGCCTTCGACATAGATGGCGTTGTTCTTCTCGGCCATTCCCCCGTCGGCGGCTCCCCCGGTGCCGTCCGAAGACTCTACGATGATTCTGGTATGCGCTACATCTACCACCGTGTATATATGTATAATTTCTATGTATTTGGGTAGCTTTTATTCGTGGATTGCTGGGCTTGTTGGAATTTCGACTGATTTGGTCTCTCAAAGATATCGTTTTGCTATGGATAATGGAGATACGTGCAACTGACCGATTACTGGATTGATAGACAATCTACTCGACGAGTTTGTGATGTCTTAGTTTCTCTGTGTTTCTCTTGCAGGTGCTTTGAAGGTGCCTTTCATATTTTTGACGAATGGTGAGTCTCTGTATATTTATGTCATCTTCCTTAGGGTAATAATTTTCTTTTAAAAGTATATTTTACCAAGCAATGGAGTCTGAGAATTGGGTTAAAACATGTTAACGAATTATCTGGCTGCAACTGTTTGGCTAAAGTTCCAAATGGGTCAAGGTGGGAAAACAGTTTATGTCCCTTTTGTCGGGGAGTCTGTGTCTGTGGCTTTTCTGTGAAGTTCTCGGATCATGATTGCTCATCCGGGTTTGTCATCGGATTTGACAGGAGGTGGCTACCCTGAATCCAAACGAGCCTCTGAGTTGAGTCAACTACTGGGGGTGAACATTTCTCCATTCCAGGTTTAAAGCTTTAAGATAATGCATCTTCTCTCTTTCTGTGAATGTAATCATAACCACCAAACGTATCCGGCAGATGTTAACACATCGAGTGAACTCATTTGGATATGTTCACGATGCAGGTAGTACAGGGGCACTCACCTTTTCAAAAGCTGGTGAATAGGTAAGCAACTTAAACCGGATTATATTACAAACAAGTTTGAGCTTGTTTCCAGATATTTTCCCTTACATGTGGACTGTGAACATAACACATGATTCATCAGTCGGTGTGCTGATGCTTAACAACACATTTAGGAGTCCTTACCTTGAGAGTTGAGAATATGAAGGTCATCTTAATATGTACATCATCTAGCCCGAGATAGATAGGATTATCCCTTATTTCTTGAATTTGACCGTCATCTCTTCTGTGATGCCTTTGCCCAGGTTTGAGAATGAGCTTATTGTTGCAGCTGGAAAGGGAGAACCTGCTGCAGTGATGTCAAACTATGGATTTAAGTAAGTTTTTTCAGTTCACTTTCTCATTATTTCTGATTTCAATTTGTCCTTTTTTCCCGAACTTGCATTACCTGGACGTGCTTTGTGCCTCAACTTTCAGAAATGTCATTTCGCTAGACGAATATTCGTCTTTTTTTGACAACATTGATCCATTGGCGCCGTATAAGAAATGGGAGACTAGACAGGAAGGTGCCGAGGAAGTTCATTCAAGAGACCGTATACTTTCACTTAGAGTTCAGGCGGCATTTATTGTTAGTGATCCAGTTGACTGGAGCCAAGACATCCAGGTATTCTTTTCTTCTTGCTGGTCGATAATGTGACTTGTTACGAAACCCCCCCTGTGAATTCTACATATAAATGGTTTATGGCATTTCATCTTCTGTACTCTTTACGGTGTGTTTAGAACTTAAAGTGATCGCATTGTCTTGCCCATAAAAAATTGTTCTTTTAGGTTCTTTGTGACATTCTACGGACTGGTGGACTTCCAGGGAAAGGAATCGGACCCCAACCCCCATTGTACTTGGCCAACGATGATTTGGACTACCAGGTTCTCATGATAACATCTGATGTTTTTATCCATTTTCAACATATAATTTGAATTCTGATGAACAGTGACTAAAAGGCAGACTGCATTTCCTACTGAACGTCTTGGTATGGGAGCCTTCAGGATTGCATTAGAAGCCATCTTCAACAGGTAACAATTGCTGCGTATATGTGTTCGTCTTCATATCGCTTGACATTGTTAGTTTCCTACTTTCCTTATTAAAAATCAGCTGGTTTTTCTAGTGCAAAACGTAGATGTGTTCTGATAAATTCAAATTCATTTCTTGCCGTAACGAGTTGGGGCAGAAGCAGTAGTTTCAAAATTCTGTCTCATGCTATGGATATTACCATGCAGAGTTCATCCTACCCCTCTGGAGTACACGTCTTTTGGGAAACCAAATCCATCCGTGTTCAAGAACGCTGAAGATGTCCTGAGGCAAATCGTAACGTCTGTTCCCCACTCAGATCAACGTGTAGGGGATCATTCTAATTCAGGAAGTCACCACTTCAGGACGTTATATATGATCGGAGACAATCCCAAAATTGATATTAGAGGGGCACGCCAGGTTTGCTTTCTCTCAAACTAGAGCTGCTTCTCCACTACCCATTCCGTACAAATCTGCAAAAAAAAAAAACGTTATGCGTCTAACCTCCGTTCCAGGCTGGGCAGCCATGGTTTTCGATCTTGACAAGAACCGGTGTTTTCAAAGGGAAAGATAATCATGGAGATTTTCCAGCCGATCTGGTAACTGAAAAACATTCATAAGCATATTTTTTTCCATGCAATCATGAATCAGTTAATCTGAAGGGCCTTCCTGAACTATACTGTCTTCTTTCAGGTTGTAGACACTGTTGAGGAAGCAGTGGATTACATTTTGACAAGAGAGTCCACAAAACAACACAGCTAAGCGATGGAGGTACCCTTTGAGTTTATATGCTTTTGCCGATTCACCCTTTCCTATAAAGATTGAAGATTTTTATTTTTTATTTATATCAAAATACATATTACATTGATGGGTTCCATTATGTTAAATTACTTTGAGAGGAAATAAGATTTCGAAATAAGAGAACGTTAAAGGATTTCGGTGCAACATGTCTAAGATCTCGATCTCTGTTGATGTTTTTGAACTAATTCTGTCGATGATAGTAACTCCTGAATAGAATGCTTAGGATTGGTTTTAACACTAATCTTAGGATTAGGCTTTCATTAGGAGTTAATTAGACTTAGGTTTTATTAACCTGTAAAGATGCCTGTCTTAGGACACATGACCATTAGAGATTTGATTGGATTACTTGTTCTGAAAGTAATGTGATACTTTCCGTGGTGGATTTTCGATTCGGATATGTGAAATCCAAATTGATCTGAATAACATCTATTCATATCTGAATCAAATATGATCTTAAGACGGTTGGATATATTCTTTCAAATTATATTTGACCAAATCTGAATTGAAAATGAAAATGAAATTAAAAAAACACTGAATACCAAACAAAAATAGGTTTTGAACGTGCGTATTTTTTTCTTAACGAAAAACCGAATACAAACATGATCGAAATCCGATATAAATGCCGATTAGGTATAGAATATTACTGAAGAAGGGGATATAGGTTTCTTCCAAAGCTGCAAGTCACAATTCTATCTGGGTTCCTGACATGTCGGAACTGTCTGAGGCGAGTTCTATCTGGGTACAGACCGGAAGTCCTTTTCACCCATATTAGATTTGGTCTGTTTTGTCATATATGGTGTTCTGTTATATAGACACATGAAGGTAGTTTATATATCTCTCTATTAAAAATAGTAGTATGATCAATGAATGGGTGAGATTTCTTCTTCCGTTCTAACATTTCTAAATGGAGGTTTCGAAAAAATCTGGAAGAACAGAGAGGTTAAATAAATTTTTCAAAAAAAAAAAAAAAAAAACATTATCACCTTCTTCAAACGGAACTCTTGGCCTCTGTAATGTAATCATCTCCCTATTGATAGCAAACCGAACCCACGAAATCACTTGTCCGAATCCGAAATGGAAATCCTCGGAAAATATTTTCTTCAACCATTGCAGAATAGACATAGATGTTCTTCTTGATTGTTTTTTTTTTCTTTTCATTCACAGATCATTTTGGTCGTCTCTCTCTCTCTCTCTCTCCATCGAAGATCTGTTCCTCGTTCACATATCATTTTGTTTCAGCTTCTTCCAATGGAGGAGGCATCAACATCTGGAAAGGCAGCTTCCGTTAGGAAGAAAATGGCGAAGCAATTGACGGGAAAACGCGAAGACTCGCCTCTCCATTCGGCGGTGAGGCGAGGAGATCTCACAGCAGTGAAGGAGATTCTGAGTGAAACCGGAGAAGATGAAGATCGGTTGAGAGAATTATTACAGAAGCAAAACCAATCGGGAGAGACCGCCCTTTACGCGGCGGCGGAGTACGGCGATTCCGATGTGGTCGGAGAGCTGATTAAGCATTACGATCTCGCCGACGCCGAGACCAAAGCTCGAAATGGGTTCGACCCTTTTCACATCGCCGCCAAACAAGGAGAATTGGGTAAGCTTTCTTCGAGTACTGATCCGACCCGGTGCATAAATTGAGATCTGAATCCAGATTTACGAACAAATTGCGAAATTGCTTTCGACAGGTGTATGGTTCATGCACTGCCACTTGGAAGTACACACCAGCTGGGGCTTGAAGATGGCTTGGCTTGTTCTTGACGGAGACAAACCAGATCAGAAACTTCTTCCTCCTCCTGCAGATTTGCCCAAATGCTGAAAATTTCATCTTCTTGCTTCGCGACCTCGAATCTCCATCCCCCATTTTGTTTGTTCCTGAGCAATTTGTTATTTTTCCCCCTCCGATTCCCAGTCTGTGTGAGCTAGCCATGACGGTGGATCCGTCGAACACGACGGCTCTCCACACAGCGGCGGCACAGGGGCACGTGGAGGTCGTCGAGTACCTCATCGAGGCCGCCGGAAGCAGCCTGGCGGCGATCGCCAAGAGCAACGGGAAGACGGCGCTTCACTCGGCGGCGCGTAACGGACACGCGCGGGTGGTGAAGGCGGTGGTGGTGGCAGAGCCGGATACGGCGACGAGAACGGACAAGAAGGGGCAGACGCCACTTCACATGGCTGTAAAGGGTCAGAGCCTGGACGTAGTCATCGAGCTCATGAAGGGAGGTCGTTCTGCTCTGAACATGGTGGATTCCAAGGGTAACACGCCATTACACGTCGCCTCGAGGAAGGGCCGGACTCAGGTTAACCTCCTTTTCTTTTTCTTTTTTAACATCATCCATTCGGTTGGGTTTAGCGTAAACCGAACTCATCATAACCGCATAACACATTTTCGTAATCGAACCGAATTTGAGAAGATTTTTCTAAAATAAAATAAAAAATCCAACTTGAACCAAAACCAATTTGGTTAATAATCCAATAATTAAACCAAATAATATAACCGATCAAATACCATATAAAAATTGAATGATTTTAACTCCAACCAAATAAAAATAATAAGAAAAAATCGTTTTTTTTAAATAAATATTTTTGTAAAAATAATTAAAAATTGAACCCAATTGAATATGATTATAGTTTTTCTAAATTGGAAGTAATTGGATCCAATTATAACCAAACTAAATTCGAACCTCTAAATCGAAGACCAACCGAATATAAGAACAAAAGAAAAACCAACAATTTCTTTTTAAAGGAACATTTACCAAATCTAGTACAAAAGACCAATGGATTTCTAAAACCAAAAAAAAAAAATCTAATTTAATATAACCCAACAGAAAAAACGAAATAGCCGCCACTAAAATCAAGATCCAGCTTACGTGGCATCGTCTCTCTGTAGATAGTAGAGTTGCTTCTAGAGAACAAGGGAACGAGCACGAGAGCCATAAACCGAGCCGGAGAAACAGCTCTCGACACTGCCGAGAAAACCGGCCACGAGGAAGTCGCCGTCGTTCTCCGAAACCACGGAGTCCCCTCCGCCAAGTCCATCAAAAACCATGCGCCGGCCGCAAACGAGGCGGCTCGCGAGCTCAAACAAACGGTGAGCGACATCAAGCACGAGGTCCACCACCAGCTCGAACACGCTCGGGAAACGCGGAAACGCGTTCAGGGGATCGCCAAACGCATCAACAAAATGCACGTCGAGGGCCTAAACAACGCCATCAATTCCACAACCGTGGTCGCCGTTCTGATCGCCACAGTCGCGTTTGCGGCCATTTTCACCGTCCCGGGACAGTACGTGGACGATCCGAGCTCGGTTTTGTGGGGACAGTCCCTGGGGGAGGCGAATATCGCGGGGAGACCAGCGTTTACAATATTCTTCGTGTTCGATTCGATCGCGTTGTTCATATCGCTGGGCGTTGTGGTTGTCCAGACCTCGGTGGTGGCGATCGAGCATAACGCGAAGAAGAACATGATGGCAGTGATCAACAAGCTGATGTGGTTGGCCTGCGTTTTGATATCGGTAGCGTTTTTGGCGTTAGCGTTTGTGGTAGTGGGGGAGGAGGAGCGGTGGCTAGCGGTGGGTGTGACGGTGGTGGGAGCGTCGATAATGCTGACGACGCTCGGGACGATGGGATATTGGGTGGTGAGGCATCGGATCGAAGCTTCCAACGCAAGAAACGAGCAGAGAGAGTCCATGTCTCGGTCCAGACAGCTCACGGGATTGATCGAGTTTTCCGGGATTTTGTCGAAGAGAATGTATGCCATTTAGATGTATCCGAGTGATTAGAATCACCTGAATGTATGTGTCATAACTGTAATGAGAAAGCAGAAAATAAATAAATGGCCGTATAGAATTTCGAAATTCGGACAAGACAGAAAATTATTCGGTCAGATTTGTTTAGTTTGATGATGTCTTGTAAGGACTACGAACACCGAATCTACCGGAAAACGGCTGTGTCGGATATCATGGTCTCTTTGTTTGCCCAGAAACTGAAAGGGAAGCTGGAAATTGATGAGCTGGTTCCCCAAATACATGCGAATTCGAGTTTTTTCGGGTTTTAGGATTCAAAAACCATTGTCGAGTACGGAATTTTCGAATACTCAAATTCCGGATATCCGAATTCCGATATCTATGACATACTTTCCCTGTTCTTATTTTGTCGATGAAGACGAGAGAGCGGACTCAAGGGACGAGATGAGAGGGTGGAAGAGCGCGAGACGAGAAAAAAGAGATTGGAGAATACCGTAAAACTCGTTAGAATTGAGGTTGTGAATTGTTATCGATTTTATGATTTTGTTTAGAATATTTTAATATTTAAAATATCAATTTAGAACATTTTACCATTTAAATTATCAATTAGATAAAACAAAAAATTAAATATTTATTTATCATATTTTATAAAATTTGAATAGTTATATGGGATTTTTCCATTCCTTTTCTTTTTTACTAAAGAAAACGTCCAATGAGGTTTCTTCACTCTTTCATCCATGACCTGTTATGGATATTCCATAGCTGACCCTCTTTTGATAGCTACAGTGTCTCTTTTTTTTTTGGCTTAATGTCCAAATTTTCGTTTTTGCCATTTGTATTTCTAATAGAATCCCAACTCCAACACAAAAACTATAATAGCTATTTAAAAAAAAAATAGAGGTGGTCTAATCCTCAATTATACAATATAAACGGATAATCAATTTCATTACACAAATCCGACAAATCCATATTCTTACGCATTGAGTGTTACAAAACTAAAACGCAAATTGGCTTGTCCTGAAACGCAAATGGTTTCAAGAACCCTAATCGCCATTAATACACTGCCATCTTTCTTCACGTTAAAATGCCTTGTCCTGAAACAAAACATTTAAAAAAAGAAAGAAAGTTTTCGACTTGAAGAGGAAGGAGATCAAAAGAGACAACCTTTTTTAGATTTATCTTTGACACCACTCCTTAAGCTGTGTCTGGTCTAACAACTGGTCAACATCAGTGCAGAATTTCACAAAACTATTACTATTTCTCTATCTCGTTTTTCAAGCAAAACACCCACCCTCCCATCCTATATATTGGCCTCGATTCAAACCCATTAAGCACATTTACAAGAAAGCAATCCGAGCTAGAACGGACTCGGTCATACCTCCATTTCTTTTATGGATTTTGCAGGAACAATGACACTTTCCATGAAGTTTCAACATTTCCTTGCTCTGTTCTCTTGCCTTCTCGTTCTTCTTCCTTCGCCTGCATTTGGTATTACAAGACACTACAAGCTTGAAGTAAGGCCAACTTCATGTGCAGTATATGAATTGTTAATGGGGAAAGGCAATGTGGTTAACAGAAAATGCAAATAATGATCAATGTTTCACATGTGTAGATCAAAATGCAAAACGTGACACGTCTCTGCCACACGAGGAGCATTGTTTCGGTTAACGGGAAGTTCCCAGGGCCTCGGCTGGTGGCAAGAGAAGGCGACCGCCTTCTGATAAAAGTCGTCAACTATGTTTCAAACAGAATGCCCGATAAAAGAAAAAGGCTATCACTAACCGTGATTTTTTGGCTTTTGCGGGGTGTGAAAACAGGCATGGGATCCGGCAGTTGCGTTCTGGTTGGGCTGACGGACCGGCATACATAACACAGTGTCCTATTCAAACAGGACAGAGTTATGTCTACAACTACACCATTATCGGACAGAGAGGCACACTCTGGTACCATGCTCACATTTCATGGTTAAGATCAACGATCTATGGTCCACTCATCATTCTTCCCAAACGAGGCGTTCCTTACCCATTTGCCAAACCTTACAGAGAAGTTCCCATGATCTTTGGTAAGGATGATAACCAATCCAGAACCATCATATACACTATGAAGCTTACATGTCGAGAATTTAGCAACATTACTGATTATCTGTCAAATTACAGGGGAGTGGTTCAATGCAGACCCCGAGGCAATCATTAACCAAGCACTTAAAACAGGAGGCGGTCCTAATGTTTCAGATGCCTACACAATCAATGGGCTTCCCGGTCCATTATACAACTGCTCAGCTAAAGGTAACATGCAAATGATTGTTGCTTCCTACCTCTTAATCTTGATTTGATAGAATACCACCTAATCTGGGCAAATGGATATAAAACAGACACATTCAGACTCAGAGTGAAACCTGGGAAAACATACCTTTTACGGCTAATCAATGCTGCACTCAATGACGAGCTCTTCTTCAGCATTGCAAACCATACAGTAACAGTTGTTGAAGCTGATGCGATCTATGTTAAGCCATTTGAGACGGACACCATCTTAATTGCTCCAGGCCAGACCACGAACGTTCTCCTGAAGACGAAATCTCAATACCCGAAAGCCTCATTCTTCATGACTGCTAGGCCATATGTCACAGGTCAAGGCACTTTCGATAACTCTACGGTTGCAGGCATCTTAGAATACGAACCACCCAAAAGCACCAAAGCCATTCACTCAAAGACCTCTATCAAGAACCTTCAACTCCTCAAACCAGTGCTTCCTGCCCTAAATGACACAAATTTCGCTACCACCTTCACCAATAAACTGCGCAGCCTGAACAGCAAGAGATTCCCAGCAAACGTGCCTACAGAGGTCGATCAGAAATTCTTCTTCACGGTGGGATTGGGAACTAAACCTTGCAACCAAAAGAACCAGACATGCCAGGGACCTAACGGCACGATGTTTGCAGCCTCGGTCAACAATATCTCCTTCATAATGCCCACAACAGCTCTCCTCCAATCTCACTATTCCGGCCAGTCTCATGGAGTATACAGCCCATATTTTCCCCATGATCCCCTCATCCCATTTAACTACACTGGGAATCCACCTAATAACACCATGGTCGGTAACGGGACAAAGCTGCTGGTTCTACCCTTTAACACCAGCGTGGAGCTGGTGATGCAAGACACCAGCATTCTCGGAGCCGAAAGCCATCCTCTTCACCTCCATGGATTCAACTTCTTCGTTGTCGGCCAAGGGTTTGGGAATTTCGACCCGAACGAAGATCCGAAGAACTTCAATCTCGTCGACCCGATTGAGAGAAACACAGTCGGTGTGCCTTCCGGTGGTTGGGTGGCGATTCGATTCCTTGCAGATAACCCAGGTCGGTAAAACAATCGAACATCTTGTACGCATCTTTGCTTGCAAGTTCAATGTGCAGATTTACGAACAAATTGCGAAATTGCTTTCGACAGGTGTATGGTTCATGCACTGCCACTTGGAAGTACACACCAGCTGGGGCTTGAAGATGGCTTGGCTTGTTCTTGACGGAGACAAACCAGATCAGAAACTTCTTCCTCCTCCTGCAGATTTGCCCAAATGCTGAAAATTTCATCTTCTTGCTTCGCGACCTCGAATCTCCATCCCCCATTTTGTTTGTTCCTGAGCAATTTGTTATTTTTCCCCCTCCGATTCCCAGTCTGTGTTTCACAAATTTGCTACGTGAGAGATGAGAAAATTACTGTATGTAAACACGGAAAAACGCTATGTAATTTACGCACCTTGACGCGAATAACCCCCGAGGAAACAAAGTTTTCACCTTTGTTTTTACCCAAAACAAAAAACGTTTTCACCTTTGAACGAAAAGTTTTCGTCTTTCTAAATCCAAGTACAATTATGAGAGTAATTATTTGTTTTTTAGTATTCGGATACATATATATATATATATATATATATATATATATATATATATAATATGCTAGTTTTAAAATTTTAAAAGTGTCTAATAAAAATAATATAAATCAGAGTCAAAGGTAATTAATATTACATGCCATGTAAATTAATATTAAAAGTTATATGCTTCGTAAAGTTGAATTTCGAATAAAATTGGGAACAAGATTTAAAAAAGTTGGGATATTATAAAATACATCAAAAAAATTTGCACGAAATTTTGTGATATAATATGCCAAAATATTTCAAATACACTTCTACTCGTACTTGCTATTTTTAACACGATTATGTTATGTAGAACGTAATTATAAACAATAATTTTCTAGTTATATATATATATTATGTTTTAGTTTTACAGTCGTATTCTAAATGCGCCTTTATAAAATCAATCTATGATTATATTATAATTTAATTGTTATGATAATTTTTTTTTCTTTTTATCATTTCTATGTAACAGTAAAGTTTGGAAATTTTGATACTTTTAGTAAAATATCCCAATTAAGACTGTTTAGAGATGCAATTAATTAGGGATTTATTTAATATGATTAGGTCTTTAATTTCTCCTTTTTTCTTGCACGTGGGTCTGCAGGCTGCAGCTCCTGTGAAACCTAAAACCCTTGAAAAATCCCTAAATCGTTGATTTTTGTCGCTGGGGCTCGGCGCGAAGATCGTTGAGATACTATCCCCATGAAGACGGTCACTGGAAAAGTCATCAGCGCCGAGCCCTTCTCCATCTCCAAAGCGGCGTCGATCCTCTCCAAATTTGCGTCATCCGAGAACGGCGCTACGCAAGCCGTAAGCGCGTACCTCCGACGCACCTCCGCGGCCTTCAACGAGCTGAAGGGTCTTCACAGGGGCATAAAAGTTTCGTCCTTGAAGGAGAAGAAGCCCAGGTCCGACGTTACACTGGAGCGAGACCCGACCCGTGGATCCGGCGAGCCGAATCGATCCAACGACGTGAGCTGGGGAATTTGCGATGGAATTCAGAAGAAGAAGCATAAGAAGAAGGAGGAGAGTGACGGGGTTGGTGAACTGGTTGGGAATGGTGACCGGGAAAGCAAGACCGTGACGGAGGAGGAGCCGCTTCATGGGAGAGTAGAGGCGAGTCAAGGACCGAGTCAGGATGGAGCGAGTGAGACAAAGGAGGGCAAGAAGAATAAGAATAAGAAGAACACGAAAGACAGAAAAGAAGCTGGAGATGTTGAGGGCGGAAAAGTAACAGCGAAAGGTAAAGCAGAAGACGTTAATAGGAAGGGCGAGAAAATGGAGAAGAAGAAGAGGAGGAAGAGTGATGGAGAAATGGTTTCCGAGGAGAAGAAGAGCAGGAAGAAGAGAAGGGTGGAGGAGTTAGATAATTGAAGTTGGTTGCTTTTTCCAATTCTAGTTGAAAAATGAGGAAAATTTTTTGTAGCTTAAGGTTTTACTCTGGCAATTTGGATTCAGAATGATTTGATATACGAAATTGTGATAGGAAGATATTGTCTTTGTGAAATCATGTTATATGCAATGGCGTTTGCATTGTTTTGGCATGTTGTTTTTTCTCTTCTTTTTTATGTCCTTGAATACCTACTCTGTGATTGCTATGCCTTGAAGATGTTTCAACGTGAATCTGTAAGTGTTCAGATTTTGATTGAAGATGGACTTAAGGAGTTTCTTTTCAGTTTATGTGGAGAAAATCCTATGCGAAAACTCGATTTTCTTAAGGAACGTCAAAGTCGGGACTCGGGAGCTTGAACAGTGGAGGAAGAAGTGCTATGGAGAAAAGTTGATCGCAGCAAGAAAGAAAGATTCTGATATTCTATTCAGCTAATCTCTGTTGGAACATATGGTTCTCTTATGTCATTGTCAGGTGCGCAAATGCTTTCCGCTGTTCATGTAATTCATTAACCATTTCAGAGAAACGCAGAATCCAAATTTCTAGTCAAAATGGTTTATTGTTAGAATAGTTCTTTATTATCTGTTTTATGCTGTCGTTACTGTCTGGTTACATCTGATCAGTTGTATAGATAGAAGTAGACTGTAGAAGTCATATGGGTGAGCAAAAGGAGAACTCAAGTTTAACAGAAATTGATCTCATGTATACAAACCGACAAAAACAATTTATTTAACACAAAACGACCTCATCTCAAATTGTTAAATGGCCGGAGAAATGCAAAGAGCTTGAAATCAGAAAAATAAAACAGATGAGACACAAAAAAGGACTCGAATGGCAGAGCAGGAAGGTGGGTTTCAGCATCTTGGCAAATCTGCCGGAGGAGGAAGAAGCTTCTGGTCAGGTGTATCTCCATCTAAAACGAGCCAAGCCATCTTCAAACCCCAGCTGGTGTGTACTTCCAGGTGACAGTGCATGAACCACACTCCTGTCAAAGGTATTGCCCACATGTTCATTTCATTCTTTCTTTTTTTCACATTGGATGTGTGTAAACATAGGTATATGCCAAACATTATGTGTAGTGTTTGATTTGTTTTACTAACCTGGGTTATCTGCAAGGAACCGAATGGCTACCCAACCACCAGATGGGACACCGACTGTGTTTCTCTCTATCGGGTCGACAAGATTGAAGTTCTTGGGATCCTTTTTAGGGTCGAAATTCCCAAACCCTTGGCCGACAACAAAGAAGTTAAATCCATGAAGGTGAAGAGGATGGCTTTCAGCACCTAGAATACTGGTGTCTTGCATCACCAGCTCGACGCTGGTATTAAAGGGTAGAACCAGCAGCTTTGTCCCATTACTAACCATGGTGTTATTTGGTGGATTCCCAGTGTAGTTAAATGGGATGAGGGGATCATGTGGAAAATATGGGCTGTATACTCCATGAGACTGGCCGGAATAGTGAGATTGGAGGAGAGCTGTTGTGGGCATTATGAAGGAGATATTGTTGACCGAGGCTGCAAACATCGTGCCATTAGGTCCCTGGCACGACTGGTTCTTTTGGCTGCAAGGGTTAGTTCCCAATCCTACCGTGAAGAAGAATTTCTGATCGACCTCTTTAGGCACGGTTGCTGGGAATCTCTTGCTGTTCAGGCTGCGCAGTTTATTGATGAAGGCGGTAGCGAAATTTGTGTCATTAAGGGCAGGAAGCACTGGTTTAAGGAGTTGAAGGTTCTTGATAGAGGTCTTTGAGTGAATGGCTTTGGTGCTTTTCGGTGGTTCATATTCTAATATGCCTGCAACCGTAGAGTTATCGAAAGTGCCTTGACCTGTGACATATGGCCTAGCAGTCATGAAGAATGAGGCTTTCGGGTATTGAGATTTCGTCTTCAGGAGAACGTTCGTGGTCTGGCCTGGAGCAATTAAGATGGTGTCCGTCTCAAATGGCTTAACATAGATGGCATCAGCTTCAACAACTGTTACTGTATGGTTTGCAATGCTGAAGAAGAGTTCGTCATTGAGTGCAGCATTCATTAGCCGTAAAAGGTATGTTTTCCCAGGTCTCACTCTGAGTCTGAATGTGTCTGTTTTATATCCATTTGCCCAGATTAGGTGGTATTCTATCAAACTAAGATTAAGAGGTAGGAATCAACAAATCATTTGCATGTTACCTTTAGCTGAGCAGTTATATAATGGACCGGGAAGGCCATTGATTGTGTAGGCATCTGAAACATTAGGACCACCTCCTGTTTTAAGTGCTTGGTTAATGATTGCCTCGGGGTCTGCATTGAACCACTCCCCTATAATTTGACAGATGATCAGTTATGTTACTAAACTCTCGAAATGTAAGCTTCATAGTGTATAAGGTGGTTCTTGATTGGTTGTCATCCTTACCAAAGATCATGGGAATTTCTTTGTAAGGTTTGGCAAACGGGTAAGGAACACCTCGTTTGGGAAGAATGATGAGCGGACCGTAGATCGTTGATCTTAACCATGAAACGTGAGCATGGTACCAGAGTGTGCCTCTCTGTCCGATAATGGTGTAGTTATAGACATAACTCTGTCCTGTTTGAATAGGACACTGTGTTATGTATGCTGGTCCGTCAGCCCAACCAGACCGCAACTGCCGGATCCCATGCCTGGTTTTACACCCGCAAAAGCCAAAAAACACGGTTAGTCGTAGCCTTTTTCTTTTCTCAGGAATTCCTGCTATAACTTTGTAGCATATTATTACCAGTGAATGGAGATATTGTTTGAAACATGGTTGACGACTTTTATCAGAAGGCGGTCGCCTTCTCTTGCCACAAGCCGAGGCCCTGGGAACTGCCCGTTAACCGAAACAATGCTCCTCGTGTGGCAGAGACGTGTCACGTTTTGCATTTTGATCTGCATAAAGAAACATCCATTGTTATTCACTGTCTTAACAAAGATCTACTAGTACTTATCTACAAACGGTAAACAAGTTCACATACTTCGAGCTTATAATGTCTTGTAATTCCAAATGCAGGCCGAGGAAGAACTATGAGAATGCAAACCAAGACATAGAAAAGAAGCTGATACACTGTGAAATCCGCCATTGCTCTGTAACTTTGGAAGAAATTAACGATGTTTCCGGTTCTAAGCAGGTGGTTACTGAAACCTTTTCCCTGTTTTTTCCTTTCTTTTTTCTTGTGTATGGGTTCATGGGTTTGAACCAAAGTGAATATATAGGAAGGAGGTTGGGTTAGGTCTTTGCTTGAAACATGAGATAGAGAAAAAAAATATAAGCAATTTTTATGAAACATGGGAATTGATTGGTAGAGAAGCTCGCTTTGGAAGCTCTGATATTGACCTGTTGTTGTTAGAGCATGAACAGCTAAAGAGTGGTGTCAAAGATAATCCAGTTTCCTTTGACCTCTTGTCTGTTTGAGCCCTTACATTCTGTTTCCTTTACAAGACACGACTTAGATCCAAGAAAGTGCCAACTAGTTTTAGGTAATAATAGTTTCAGTTCCTGTTTTTTTACTTCTACTTGGCTTCAGTTAAATTTTCAGTTTTATTCATCACAGAATCTTTGAAAACAGATCTCTTGAACCAATGTAGAACTCCCAAGTTTTTGTCTGATTCTAATTTGTGATCTAAATGGTGAAAGATCAGATGCAGGAACACCAAAGGAAGGCTTTTACTGTTTGATGAAGATGAGATTTTTTTGTTTTTTTTTTTTTGGAATATCATTGAACTAGTGCAGTAAATCAGATGAATTTCTGGAAGAAATGATTACTTTAATTTTTATTTTTTTTCAGGTGGGCACTTTTTAAAATTTAATATGAGATTGGAGGTTAAAAAAAAAACATTTGGAGATTGTTTGGAGGTGAAGCAATGAAATTAGGGTTAGACATCAAATCCATGAAGTGTATGTATATACACCATAGGCATATAGGATGTGAACAGTGGAGAAACCTCAATCCAAGCAATTTTTGCGCAAGCAAATGACCTAACCTCTGTTATTTCTTCTTCACAAAGGCATCCCATTTTTGGTATTAACATATTTATACACATGCACACATATACATACATACATTCCATCGACATATATTTATATATATAATTACAATGTTGGAAGCACAATTTCACTTCGGGTAATCTTATAATTGTGTCCGCAAAACTATACATATAATTCTATATTAAACTAATCATATTATCCAAAACTTTTAATTCAACCGGTGAAATATGGGTGCAAAGCATATGTCTCGTCCCAAATTCGAATTTCAAATTTAGAGAAAGAACATATAATTCAAATCATACCGTTGGTTCTCGATCCCAAAATTAGTATGGATTTCAGTCCGGTTACAAAAAAACACTAATTATATTTCCATTAAATACAGATATTTGTGAGATTTGATTAATATTCGATAAACCAGATCAAACTTCTAGCATTTGAATAAATAGAATTATTTATATATACGACATATTTACGTATATATGTTGTATATACATATACATGTATGCATAAACATACGAGAAGCATATTTAAAAGAAGTTTGATTAGAATGGAGGGAAAGTTGGTGCATCCCTTCTTTTTTTTAGTGACAACGTAGTTGTACCAATCCTTGATTTGTACTTACAAATATGCATGTATGTATACAAATATACGTATACCATACCAATATACAATTGGAAAGATACTGCTCACCTTTACGCTAATATGTAGATGTATATGTTGGAAACGAATCTCAAGGCCAGAAATTTTGAAAAATATTTTACCTGTTACATATGTCTAATAATTATATATACACAACTAAATTCCATAGACTTCTTGTAAACACACAATATATTTCTCAATCATAATGTACGTGAAAATTATTTTGTTTCCACTGAAAAATATTCCCTCCTTTTAATTTTATATGACAGTTTTAAAATAAATTTTTTGTTTCAAAATAAATGTATATTTTGTGATATTATTTTCCAAATTTATACTTTATCAAATATTCTGCATATTTCAAGTTAATAATTCTCCGAGTATTTTATTTTTCCATTAAAAAAAGTCTCCTTAATGGGCCTAATCAAAGCCCATTAATTTTCCAATTTCTACTTGTAACCTTTGTAGCAAAACGAGAGAGTTCCGCACGTGTGGTGGGGGGGGGGGGGGGGTGAAAAAGTTGGGTTCCAAA